CAATGTGGTAGGTATTTTAAATACTCCTTTTATTTATTTTATACACTGAACATACTGTTTACTAATTATTTTTTAAAATCAATAACAGTTAAGAAAAAAAATCTCGTGAAAATCTCGACGTTTAAAGACCTCGAAAAAACATGGTTTGGCAACTTTGTCCGTATGCTTATGTGTGTGTATGTATGTATGTATGTGTCTGTATTCTGTGAACACGATATTTTGAGTACCGTTACAGCTAGGCTGGTGAAATTTCATATATATATATATATATATATATATATATATATATATATATATATATATATATATATATTTATTTATGTTACGGTCAAAGCCCGAAGTGCGGCCAATGCGCGCATTGGCCGGCTCTCTTGGCCAAAGCCCGAAGAACTTAGCACTAAGATCGTATTTCGTACATTGGCCGGCCAATGCGCGCAATGGCCGTGACGTACTGGCCAAAGTCCGAAACGCTTAAACTTGACAGCGTATTTTGTACATTGGCCGGCCAATCCGCGCACTGGCCGGGATGTCCTGGCCAATGTTCTATCTAGACTAAGTTGTGATCGCATTTTCATTATTCTGGGTGCGTTTTCATTGAGAGTAACGTATTGTTTAGCTCTTGTTTGTATAGCATTCTATATGCAAGGGCCGTCAGACCATGAGACAGACATAGCAGATGGCTGTCAAAAGAAAAAAATGTAAATCCATGTTAGTTTCCATATATGGGCTCTCGATAAAATAGTTACTGAGGAAGATCTTGAGAACATTGAACAAGAAATGGAGGTTGCCATAAATGCAACGACATCCTCAGCTAACACTGCCGTGGCGGAACGCCCAGACCAGTTGCGTGACAATTATGTGGCCAACAGATTCTATAGTTTGTGAAAAACATTGTAGTGCAGCTCATTCTTTTGGATCCTGTGGCAACGATGTCCATGCTATTTGTGGAATACCCAATGAAGCAGACGAATGGTACGGAGGGAACATTACCTGCAGATTGTGTCACAACAAACAAGACATCATGGAACACAGATCAGCAGCTCATACTGGCTTGCAAACTCAAGGTGCTAAAATGCTTAAAACATCAAATACAAAATTTAAAGATTGTGAAGTGGGTGACAATGTACGCATCCGTTTTCCAGATGTTGACAGAGGTCACGATGATCCCCGAAGCGCGATTGCAGTTGTTATAAGCGTCGAGGGCGGTTTCTACAAATTAGGAACGAAACATGGTGTTCTAAAACAACTGTATGCTAGAAGTGAGTTTTCAATTCTTCACGAAAAACTGCTCTTATTGTCGTCAGTTGGCACTGAGGAAAAATCACTAAGAACCATCGCATTTTCACAATCAGTGACCGGCGGCCAAGGCTACATTCGCTGCAATTGCACAACTAAGTGCACAACAAATCGCTGCAAGTATAAAAATAACAAGCTGCTATGTAATTCTAAATGCCATAAAAGTTCAACTTGTTGTAACAAATGATGATATTGATAGATTGAGTAGTACAATAAAAAATTTGAATGTTTCTGTCATTTACTTTAACTAATAATCAATAAAGACTTAATTTCATGATCCTTACGGCATAAAAAAACAAAGTCTGCTCATCATCTTCTAATTCGGACTTTGGCCGGTCGTCCCTAGCCAGATGATCTTCTAATTAAGACTTTGGCCGGTCCACCATGGCCAGTCTGCGGATTGGCCGGCCAAAGGCCGAAATCAAGCAAAGTTTCGGAGTTTGACCGACCTATGGGAGGCGATATTGGCCAATGCGCGGATTGGCCGGCCAATCCTAGCATTGGCCGACTTCGGGCTTTGACCGTAACATATATAATATCAAATTTGTAGTTCTGTGTCAACTTTTCAGCGATATCCGGTAACCAGAAGTGGAACTTATTCTACTTTCATTTTTTCAAAAGCCTTTAAATTAACTTGAGTACTGTTTCTGATAGATAAACGAAATTTCACATATAAGTAAAAGATCTAATTCTTTGCCTACTGTCAAATTTTGAGCAATTTCCGTTTACCGGAAGTAGTACTTTATGCTGTTTCTCCACAAAACGGCTTCCGTCATTACGCCTCCCGACAAACAGGCGCCTGTCATTTTGGCTCACGACAAATAGGCTCCTGTCAATTTGGCTCCCGACAAAAAGAACACTGACAATACGGTTTCTGTAGAGACTAAGTCTCCCGGAAAAACGGTCTCATTGAATATGACACCTGCCAGTGGGACCCCTTTATCAACATTCTTTAGAGTTAACTTATCCAACACACTTAAGTAACACAACGTATGCATCTCTTGTTCGGCAGGCATTATTTTTATAATAGTTTATCTATTATAAGAAATAGTATGTTTTAATTTAAGGGTCATCTATCTATGACTTCCATAAATGAGTCGGTTATCGGCTGTTCCAACTCAGTGTGTGGGGGTATGCTTGTAGGTTATCAAAACAAAATGCCGTTATCCTGTAAACATAATGTAATAGATTGAGATAATTGTGAGGCCAAGGGAACTCACTCTTCTGTATTAGTATTATATTTATTATATATGTAAGGGACATCACTCAAGATAACAATATAAATATAATACTAATACAGAAGAGTGAGTTCCCTTGACCTCACAATTATCTCAATCTATTACACATAATGTATATCATACATTTACACTTCTGTGCTCGCTTATAAGCAACAGATCTTTATTGTTGTAAATTAAACATTATCAAAATTTTAGTATTAGCTGTTAATAAGTGTTAAGGGCTCGATTTGTTTGTGAATTGATGTTGGTCATGAAAAACAATTGCATTCAGGCATTTAAAAGAGATTACAGTGATAGTAGAGGTACTACAAAATGGTTACTTTTATGCCAATAGTGGTCATACGATTCATTTGTCTGGAGCCAATATGTCGGGAGCCAATAAGTCGGGGCCCTTTTGACTGGGCTAGTTTGACTGGGTCGTCTTGTCGGGGATCCATTTGACGGGGGTCATATTAACGGGGCCGTTTTGACGGGCCCGATTTGTCCCGGGCCGTTTTGACAGTGCATTCAGTGCACTTATGGGGCTGCACATCATTTGTCACGCCAGAAAACCCCATAAGAAGAGAGAGAAGCTGACTACATTGGACACGTTCTTCCAATCAGTACCAAGTAACGTAAAGTTCCCTTTCAAAAAACCTGACGGGTTTTTTTGTTGTTGTTGTTTTTTTTTGTTTTTTTTTGTTGGTCACGTAAATTTTTTTATAACAATGGTAAAATAGTTAAGTTAATGGCAAGTAAGGAAGAGTTCACCTGTTTCTGTGACCACCGGCATATGAAGGGATAGTAGTATGGTCAGCACATAATATGCCCAGCCGCCTTTACTCACCCTAACGTGAATTAGGTGGACGGTCTACTCAGTTGAACCCGGATTCAAACTGGAAACCGTACGGGTTAGCAGTTCAGCTCTCCACCACTAGGCCACTCCAATCTAGTCTATACCCCTGTAGGTCAGCTAATTCAAGCTCAAAACATTTATGCATGGTCACATTGTGTCGATGATTATGCTTACAATCTTCGTACAAAAATTAAAGTATCTACACAGTGGCGTCGCTAGGTCGGGTATTACCCGGTGCGGCACTTCGTGGTGTCACCCCCTCCCTTTCAAAGAAAAATCAATATATATATATATATATATATATATATATATATATATATATATATATATATATATATATATATATATATATATATATATATATATATATATATATATACACACATACATATGTGTGCGTGTGTGTATGAGTGTATGTTTATAAGCTTTAATCACTGCAGACTTAATAGTAACGATGTTTATCTATAGTCTGTTAATAATACAATTGGATGTTGCATTGTTTTCTCTATTGTTAGCACGTTTACGTCATGGTGTCACCCCATCCTCTTGTAAATATTATAAAAATTGTCGATTTTTACTTAAAAGACTATTTGACTTGAATTAATCATTATGGAACTGGCAAAAAGCAGTTTTCTTCTGTACATTTTGCAATTTTTTTGCAATATGGTGTCACCCCCCCCTAAATGGTGTCACCTGGTGCGGCTCGCACCCTCGCCCCGCCTCTGTATTTACATCTGAAAATATATTCAAAACTAAACTTTTTTCTCCGGTGTGTGTGTGGGGGGGGGGGGACGACTAAATTTTCCGGGAGGGGACGACTAAATTTTCCGGGAGGGAGGCGGACACTATTGAAGTATATATTTTCCATATAAATTCCCCCGAAGAGATGCCTGATCTCGTTGTGAATTATAACTATGTAATATTATTTCTGTATTCCAAATTTGTGATGATATGTCTTTCTTATTCAATTTCTTTTCTTTTTTAAAATTAAAATGTTTATATCATGTAAAAAAAAAAGGCAAATGTGATAAAAGACCAAGCAGTCATTGCTTTTGGAATTTGAAACTTGTGTTTCCCACAGACATACAATACAGTGTTTGGTTTTTACTTTTTTATTTTTACACATCGAAACAAAGCGAACGGTATCGCATACTAAGTCCATGGGAAATGTTTTATAGATCCAGAACAGTTTCTTCAAGGCATCTCTTCGGGGGGAGGGGGGGAAGCACCCCCCCCCCCCGAAGAAAGTCTACCGCCTCCTCCTCCCTCCCCCTCCTCCCCCCGAACGAAATGGAATTTATATAGAAAATAGTTACTTTTGACAGTGTCCGCCCCCCCCCCCCCGAAAATTGTTGTCCTAGCGCAGGGGTCTCCAAACTACGGCCCGCGGGCCCTCGAAGTCCTCTCATCCGGCCCGCGGAGATCTTTTTGTCTAAGGAAAAATCGTTTGTTGGTGATGGCTGAGGAACTTTGCCCAGAAAAATTAAAGACATGCCTGGAAGAAACTGGCCCCCGAACTGAAATTTGATAGTTAATGCGGCCCTCGGACTGAAAAGTTTGGAGACCCCTGTCCTAGCGGTAGAGCGATAGGCCAGTTAGGATTTAGCTTATGCCCAGGGAAGTAACTCTCACTGTATTTCGATCGCATGTGTCGGCTAGAATAGTAGAAGGTCATAGATCTAGTTTGTACCCGATCATTTAAGTTTATTTATTGTAACAGACATAGAGTCTAGGAATCGAACAAAAACTGCTTCAAAATGCTGAGAATACTACAAAAGAGGGTGAGTTATGATGATATTATAATACCCTAAAGTTAAAGTCTAAAGATTTTAGTTTAAGACCCAACAAAATCCTGAATTTTGATTTCATCATCGACATCAAAGAGTCGAGTGTAGACTGTGTAGAGTCAACAAAGACATCAAGCCCAGGTGCAGGTAACAGCCAGGCACCTCTAGATCTCTAGATCATTTTAAATATCTAGATCTAGACTAGATTCTATAATCTGATCTAGATCTAGATTCTTAATCTAATCTAAAATTCTAAATCTCTAGCTAGAGGCAGAGGACTTAAAAATTAAAATTAAACTGAAAATTCATTTTAAGACATTTTATTTATAATTTTAATCAATGGACCCAAGCGAGGATAGTCTCAGAGTCGAAGGTTCTAGATCTAGGTATTCAAGATGCCCATTAAATATTTTAATATTGTAATGAAAATTAAAATGAAGTGACTGCGCGTCTCTCAGAGCGTGGCCTGTAAGGATGTGACTACGCTTCTCGCAGGTTGGATTTGCCATCTTGTGATTGAAAATGCTTACTTTTTCATTCTCCAACACATCCGGTGTTATTGAGTCAACAGTGTGCCAGCTGTAAACTGTAGTTCATAGACCCAGAGTTCGAACCCAAGGTCAGCACGACCGGTTTTAGTGACTTTTTTACATTTTTTTTTGTTTCATATTGAAAATATGATGTGTGATTCTTTTTTTTAAATAAAATTTCCAAACATCGTCACTGCCGTGATTGCTTGCCTTACGTTTACTATCCCGTGGGTGGAAAATCCCACCACGGTCGGCGAGGCCACTGAGTTCAGCAGGCCTAAAGCATACGTCATAGAATGAACACAAGTTCACAAGATTGTCTGTGTCTTCACTTCTCTCTTCCTTCCCCCCCTCCTCCTCAAGCAAATTGAAATTTTTTTTCATTTCACATAGGATAATAATATAGACTTAGATCTACTATGACGCATGCTAGATAGCTGTAAAACAATTTACTAAAGGACAGTTTGATTAAGCTAGATAGCTGCTAGATCTAGGACTGTCATATGACCCACTACAGACACTAGTGGTTTTTTTTTACAAGTATTAAACTAGATCTAGATCTGTGTCAACATTAAATTGCTACCACGAAAAAAAAATCGGGCAGTCCTGATATCTGTTGTTTGTTTTTTTTTAAGATCGCGTGCCACCTACGGTATAGATTGAGCGTAACGTGGCGTGAACCACGCAAAGGCGGCCATACGCGCAAATGCGGCCAAATAAAAATCTATGTTTCATGCGGGCAGGTGGTCCTGGAAAACTCATAGAATTTTAAAAATTGTAAAAATCTTCTGGAATTCTCATGAAATGTTAATTCCGAATTTTCCACTGATGTTTTCAGTTAAATATTTTTGCAAAAGATTGAGAAAAAGTAGATCTATTATAAAATATTGCAGTTCTTTGAAGGACAAATACATCAACCGAGCCCGGTTGTGTTTGATACAGCTTGTTTTAGGAAAAATAAAAAATGACCTCATGGCCAATCTTAAATAGAAGTGTTATTCCTGCTGTGCGATGCGCTCTAGGCCTACTATGTTCTGACCTCAAATGAGCTCACTGCGACCTTTGTATATTTTCTTGTTGGGGGGGGGGGGGGGGGGAGATACCAGTGACAAATTGTAATTTAATTATTTTTACGGCCGCTATGAAGTCAAAATATAGGCTATAACTTTACAACATATCTAACAAAAATTTTAATACTTGTAGGCCTAACTAGTTAATATTAAATTAATATATTTGCAGGTTACAGCTAGCATATTTACACAGTCCAGCAGATTAGCATCAACCGGAAAATCCGATTCTGCAGAAATTAACGACAATCAAGAGGAAGAAGAAATATCCGCTCCCAGAAGAGCTGAAAGAGGTAAACTAGTCAACTATAAAGTCAGGAAGATACACAGTTATTTTGGAAATAAAAAAATTGTCTTATTTTTTTTTTTAATATACTAGATTTTCATTGTATGTCTTGTTTTATCTGCAGGTTTAAATAAGGTCACGCTTTTAGGTCGAGTTGGTAGGGATCCTGAAACCAGAGGCTCAGAAGAGCACCCTGCACTTATTTTTCCTTTAGCAACTAATGCTACGTACAGAAAATCTAATGGTATGTAACATCATGTCTGTTAATGTTACCTCATTCTATTATTGTTAGATTACTAACAAGTGAAGTTTGTTTAGTGTAAATTATATACATTGGAATGATTCATTAATGGATTTAAAAAATCACTTAGGCGAACTTATGACCAAGACTGACTGGCACAGGGTTTGTGTTTTTAAGCCTAGTCTCCGAGAAAATGTTGCCACCAGAATCAACAGAGGGTAAGTAAGACTTCCCACTTATCCTCCACAATAGCCCAAGAATGTATTGCCAGGGCAGAGATGCCTACTGTCCCGTCAAAAGCGGTGTTGTTCAACCTGATTTTACAAAAAAAAAAACTATTTCCCTTTTGCTGTGTTTCCGTTTCCAATAGGTAAAATAGATCATGTGTAAAAACCAGCTGCTGAGCTCAGTTTATGCGTCTTTAAAGACAAGCAATTTTTTTTTTAAAGTTATTGTCCTTTCATTCAGTGTTATTTTTCCCTTTTTACTTTCTCGTATATACGAAGTATAGAGAAAGTCTTGTAATCGTGCAAAAAAAAAAAATCAAGATTATTACAAATCTCGACGTTTTACACCTCACTGATACGGAAAAACATAATTTTGCAATCTTGTCTGTCTGTCCGTGTGTAAACACGATAACTTGAGTACCGTTACAGCTAGGTTGATGAAATTTCATATATAAGTATTTTATCAAAATCGTAGATCCGTATCAACTTTTGAGCGATTTCCGATAACCGGAAGTGGTACTTTTCCTACTTTGAATTTTTCAAAAGCCTATAACTTGAGTACTATTTCAGATGAGATAGATAAATGAAATTTCACATGTAAGTAAAAGATCTAATTCTCTACCTTCTGTTAAATTTTGAGTAATTTCCGTTGACTGGAAGTAGTACTTTACGCTACTTCCGATTTCTCAAAATACTAATGTAAATTTTAAAAGTACTAATAATATTGCGCACTATTATGCGTTTTTTTATTTGGCGTTCACTTGGTGTGCAATTAATTTGTCTACGAGATTTTATTCTATTTTTAAAACTTTAAGTATTTAAAATGGATTAAAGATCATGTCTATAGCCAGAGTTCCCATCCCCTGTTATTTTATATAAGAATATTCGAGAAAGTTTAGGGGAGATCACTCCCGGTTTATTTTTAATAATACACATTTTAAAAAGTACACTGAAAATGATGTTATTGGATATTTTTTTCACTTCAGGGACAGAATTCTGATAGAGGGATCATTGTCATACCAAAGATATTTGGATGATAGTAAAAGAGAACAGACCGTAACCTCAGTTATTGCTGGTAATTAATTTTCTTTTTATTCATTTTGAAGCAAATATTTTAAATTTCTATTGTAATATCATTCAATTTCACTATAACATAATTGTTGCATTATTGAGTACTAATAGTTCTTTAATGATGTTTGTTAAAATGTCTCTCCACACAGATAACATAGTGTTTCTCAGCAGAAGGGCTGTCCAGAATGACAGTGAAGGAGAAAACTAACATCCACATTTACAGCTTTGTATAGTTTTGTATGATTTGGTACATAAAGGTCCATTTTAATTTGTAGTTCCATTTTATTGTGATTGCACAAGTATTACATGAAGTTGCATGCATGGTGTTCATTTAAAGATATGATAAAATACTACCAAGTACTTTATTATCTTTGTCCTCATTTATAATGGAAAAAAGTGTCTGTTGGAGTATGAAAGATGAATTTTTCAAAATAAACACAAGTTAATATCTGTTTCTTTGTTTTTTTGTCTGGTCTTTATTTAAGATTCAGTTCTTGTTACTAGATTTGAGCTTGTATGTTTAGCAGTATTCTGTTATGAGAAATAATTTTATGAGAAATAATTGATAATTTTAAATAATCAAGTTTACAATTTACATGTATTTAATCATTGCTTTGCCGTCATAAAATCTAGCTGAATGCAATGACAATTATTTCAACACCAACATAATTGGCGTGACTTTTTAACAGGATAAAATTTATAGCGTTTCAAAATGTAAGAAACCGCTGTAAACTTGCATTTGTAAACTGATCTCTAAAAATCATTTTTTAAAATGAATACTTGATAATTTAAATAAATCGCTATTAATATACCAATCCACCTCATGAAAAAAAATGTATTTGTAAGTGATCCTTCAAAAAATATATATAAAAACAATGTATATTATAATAGAAGCATTGGTTTCCAAATTTAGACCAAAATAATCTTCAAGTCAAAGAAAATTGTGCTGCATCTTTAAAATTTCACAAGCTGCTTCTAATTGACTAGGCTAAATTAATAAATAACCATTGAATCACTTGCCATTTGATATTGGATCTAAAATCATTCAATTAGGAAAGTTTTTTTTACAGTGAAAACCATTGATTGAAAGTAATGAAAGAGTCATTTATTTTCAACATAAGTGGATGAAAACATTTTACTTGTAAATGTATCAGTTAAGAGAATAAATTGGACATTTAGTAAACCAGATCAAACTTTTAAAATAAATTTTATTCCTGTATTACTTATAGGACCCTGTACTTAAAAAATCCACCTACCTTTGAATGAATTAAATAATTTAGATATTCATTCATAATAGTCATAATATTACAGTGAATGTTTTGTTGGAACTAGTACTAGTGTATGACTGCATTTTATTGCTTGGTTATTGTGGAGGATTTTTAAAACATAAGAGCTATGACAATTGATGAGCTGTTACCAAAAGAAAATTAGTCAATTTATTGTGCAATGTTCAAGTTAAATACAAATTTCACTGAAATATCACCAAAGTCAAACAATTGAAATAAAATACATTGGATAAGTTAAAAGTTAATGAAAGTATTTATAAAGAAGCCAGATAAATACAGTAAGTTTTTAATTGCCATGGTTGCACCAGCTGATGCATCAGTTTTGAAAACAATCTGTATAACCAGAATGTTGCAGGCTGTGGATTCATTGTTTATTTCATGCTTTTTTTTTTATTGGTTCACAGATTTGAGGTAATCATTGTATTTCTTTTCTTGAATTCCGTACAGTTTTAGCAATTTTTTTAGGGCTTTATTTCCAATCTCTTCACCTTTAGTATCATGTGTGGGTATTCCCTGAAAAAAATAATTTAAAATATAAAAGAACAGAAGAGAAAATCTGTTGCACATTTTTTTCATATCTTACTTTTTTTTTTTTTTTTTTTTTTTTTTTACTTTAAAAACAATTTTTACTACTAGATAAAACAGCTTTTATCTATACATAAGTGATGAAATACTCTATCACTAATCATTCTAAGATTAGATTAGAAATAGTTTAGAAACCTTGGGGTAGTGAATTAGAGGGGATAATAAATTTTAGAGTTGAGTTCATTCCCCTGCTGTGGCATTACTTCCCTTTAATGGTATAATGGTGTGAACTATTTGAGGATTTTGTTAAAATGTATGGGGAAGTACATGTTCTTTTGCTGACTTCTTAAAGTCAATCTTTCAATATAGTTCTAAAAGAAAACGCAAGAACAACTTTCATTTATGGTTTACTTAAAATTTTAAATAACGCATTTTTAAATTTTAAAAGATTACTATGTTTATTTTCTTACTTTTTCATCAAATTTGGAATATTTGTCTGTTTCTTTTTTAAACATCTCCCATGGCGGGATTCTTTTCTGTGCTTCTTTAGCCAGCTGTACAGAACAGATCACAAGAACATACATGTTAGGGAAACACAGAGCTGAAAACTTAGATGCCAAGTCTAAATGATAGGTAAAACAATACACTGTTTTCACTAACCGAAATAAAGATCTAGCTATAGATTCACCTTGTTTCTTCCTATAAGCTATTCATCAATATTTTTTTTAAAGAATAGCTTTTGAGAAAACAAAGGGAATGAGACACACTAAAGTTAAATAATAAATATAAATGGCAAATCAAGATCTTACCTGTTCTTGTTTAAGCTTTTCTTTTTCTAATAATTTCTTTTCTTCCAACTGTTAAAAAGAAATATAAGAGTACTTTGAAGAGTAATACCATTATCAAATCTTACAGTACAAATTTATCATTTGTATTCCTGGTTTAGACATTCCAATGTATATTTTCCGTTAAAATATGAAAGCCTACCCTCTGTTTTTCGGCTCTTTCTTTCATTAATGTTTCTCTGTCAACAAGTTTAATGATTGTTGGAGCACCCTCGTGATCCTCCAGTCGAACACCAAGTTCAGGCAGAACTGTGTCTCGAAGTTTATCACATTCTTTCAAAACCGCGACATCTGAATGAAAATTGAACAATATAAAAATTACTATTGAATTTATTAGTTACAACAAGTAAGAAAAATTTAGTTAGCTTTTCTTGTAGTATTAGCTAAAAGTGTGTAATGATTCAAGAGAATGTGTAATCAAACTTGAATGAAAATAGACACAAGTAAAGATGATAATTGTTCTTAAAACCGTCATGAAAAGTAAATAAACCCTAGTTTTTAATCAGCTAGAATGACTGGGTTATTATAGTGTTATGAAGCGGAAAGTTTCTAGGCTGACTTTGCTATTGCAAACAATTTCTTTGTAAATGATATCACACAATTTAAGACAATTTCACCACCTATAACAAAATGCAAGACTATCCACCCTTCTTCTTTAAATAACCATATTTCTGACAAAAAACTGCTATGATTTTAATTATTTCTTCATTCCTAACTGTACTTCTGTTGAAGGGGATTTCCTCCAACACAATTTAGTATTATGGGTCAACAAATTATACAATCTATGCCCAGTTGACTCCAACTTCAGCCTACTTTTCTTTTTGTATTTAAATTGCTACCATAACCTTTGTCCGCCTCACAACAATATTCAGTGTAAGACAACAGTTGTTTGATTTTGGGGTTTTTCTCTCCTAGATGGGTTGCTGTCCCCAGCTAAAGAGCCTCCTCTGCACCAGGTGTCCAAACTCAGAAATTATGGAGTTAGAAACCATTCGCTCGCTCGCCCAACCACGCCAGCACTTATGATTTTAGCTTGAAGGAAATTTAAAGGACAAAGACAATTCTTATCCCCATCCTCCCAACCCAATAACACAAATTAACAATCACCCCTTCTCTTTTTGAATTTTAATTACTAACCTTTGGTTTCTTTTGCAATGGACCTGATTTTATCTCTGAAGTCAGCAAAAGCAGAAAGATAAGGCATGACAACTTCTTCCACCTGTAATAGAAGTTATTTAATAGAGTTACAAATATACTGTATAAAAAACTTGGGAAATTGTGAGTTTGATAAAATAAAAAAAATATTGCTATTTAAAGTAATTATGGTTAGTTATGTTAACTCACATTAGTACTCTGTGATCCACCTTGCGGAAATCCAATACTCTGGTCTTTAGGGATAGCTCCAAAAGTCTGCAGATCACCCAACAAAAAAAGTTACTGCAAATTTGTCTACCTTGGAAAAAAACCAAATCCACTTATTTATTAAAAATTTAGTTTAAGTGAGTAGCCTCCCCTTATCTGTTTGGTGTAGTTCTTTTTCTTTCACTCCTAACATTCTTAAAAAATAATGCAAACATTATTAAATGTTTATTACCATTTGACGGTAATATTGCTGGAACCTTGAAGGTTAATCGTCAAATCCACTTATGTTTATACATTGAATGATGTTTATCTGCATATTCAAAAACTGTTTGCAACAGAAAAGTAATTTTGTGTGTACCTTTAGTATCTCTGTAATGAAGCCAGCTATGTTCATCAGTAGAGATCTGTTCACCACTCGTTGCTTGCTGCGGGCTGCTGACATGTAAGAGTTGCCGACGGAGACTAGTTCTCGTAGGTTATCCATGGCACCCCTTGTATCAACATTATCTGGTTTTTTTTTAATTAGAAATTATTTCTTAATGAATCATTTCCTTCAAATTATCATGAAACTAGGCTAATATAAAGTAAATAAAAAAATTTTTTTATTAATTAGTAGCAATATGAGAGTTGAGGAAAGTATGTAGGCCAAAACAAATTTGGATACGGTCAGCTGTAGAAGGAGAAGCAGCCAGAATGTCATGGACCCAGCTTGGAGGAATGACCCAGAAAAGATTATGATGGAGAGGCTTGGTTGCATCCTTATCCTCAATAGGAATGACTGCAGATGAATATGAGAGTGATGTAAAAAAAAAACTTACCACAAAGAGCTTCATGCACTCCTTGCCGTTTTGCTTGGAATTTTTCATTCAATTTGACCTCTTCTTCAGTCCATTTACTCCAGGCAGCTGTCCCAGATGAAGGCACAGACCGGACACAATCTTTTACATTCAAGAAGAATTCCTGTAATAAAAGGTTTTACATAAGCTCTCCCATTAAAAAAATACACCATTCTAAACATTCTAATTAGTTTTAATTGCAATTACTTCATGTTCATTAACATCCCTAAAAAACTAGTTTTATTGAATGCTGTGTTTAAATTTGCAGTTTCGTGTATTCAGTTTTTGAGACTCATATTTTTTCCTTAATTGTTCAGTGAAAATCCTTTTATCAAAACTAATAGAATTTTATGCTACAGAAAGTGATTATAAAAAATATGACCAGCACGATATTTTGTTGTTTATAATTACAAATTATTAATTACAATAAATTATAATTACAATAAATATTAACACATACACTCAATGTCTTTTCAAATTCTAAGGCAACATCCATTGTTTTTTCACTGTAATCTAGGGTATCTTTCCATGCATGAAGCAGGTAGAGCAGCCTGATCTGTCTGGCTGTGTACTTGTTTAACACTTCACGGATTGTGATGAAGTTCTTTAAAGATTTCGACATCTTGCAGCCATCAATTGTTAGGTGACCAGAGTGGATAAAATAGCGCACCCAGTGGTCATGCTCAAAATATGCCTACAATGAATAATTTCAGTACATTACAAAACAAGAACAATAAATTAAAAAAATAGCAACCCACCACCTGCATACATTTGTAGCCATAATTTTTTCAATAAAAAGAAGTTATATTGTGAAAAATGTCATATTTTAAAACAAGTCTATAGGAATAGAATTATACATTATGGTCATAATACATTTAAAAAATAAGGTTAACGAATCCCAACATACCAAAGTAAGTACATCTATAGAGTACTAAAAATATATATTCCTGAGATTGAAATGTACTTTACCACACGTTTTCAGCCTCTTTAGCATATTAAAACTGTACATAAATCTATTGAATTATCCAGTGGGGTAGATTAATAGAACTAATGACAGCCTACCTCTGCTTGCGCTAATTCATTGTCATGATGTGGAAACTTGAGGTCAAAACCCCCGGAGTGGATATCCATGGACTCTCCCAAAACATCACTGGCCATCACAGAGCACTCAATATGCCAGCCAGGTCTGCCCTGAGAGGAGATCATCAATAAATAAAATACACAATACAGTATGTTAGCAACATCTTTGTTTCATCATCATCTTTCCCAGTTCATATCCAAGAAACATGGGGCAGATGCAGTAGATTTCATGGGGCAGATGCAGTAGATTTCATGGGGCAGATGCAGTAGATTTAATCTGTTTCAATGACCTTGGCACACAAGGGGATAGTGTGATCAGCACTATGCCCAGCCGTCTTTTTCCCCAAAATGCGAATCAGGTACCAATAACAGCTGGATAGACTCTGGGACTCGTTTCATATTGTAGCAATTTTTCAATAAAGTAAAATAACTACAAATGAATCTTCACAAATGTAAAAAATCTTAAGTTTTTAGTATGCCAATTGATGACATTTGAACCAGAATCATACCTGAAACCGATTGTGATTGGTTAAAATGGGTAGTCTAAACTTAAAACTATTGTTTTTTCACTAATCTAGGGTATCTTTCCATGCATGAAGCAGCCTGATTTGTCTATGTTGTTACTGAGTAATATGACAAATCATGTAATGCACAATACTTACAAGTTTAACATTGTGTGTTCTATAACTAAACCATCCTATTATACACGGTAAAATTGTGTGGGCTAACCTTTCCCCATGGAGAATCCCAAGATGGTTCACCAGGTTTAGAAGCTTTCCACACTGCAAAGTCTGTAGCATTGCGTTTCTCACCGCTTTCTGTGGCAGTTAGTTCACCTAAAATATTACATTTTGATCACATCATTTTTTAACTTCAATTTTCTGTACCTTAATTTTTTTAGTACACCTACAACATTACATTTTGATAACTTGATTTGTTTTTATCTTACATTTTTTTGTACCTTAATTGTTTTGTTTTTTTTTGGAAACCTGGTTAACAAAACTGTAGCTTTATTTTAAAGCCCAACTTTATTCAATATAAATTAAAAAAAAAAAAAATTATAAGTGACAAGGCAAAAAGTTGTGTAATTAAACATCAAGATAAAAAAGGTGAAAGATAAGCAGTAAATACTGTTTGTGGGAAGTGCAGAATTGCCAGGTTAACTGAAAAAACTGTAATAATTTTTACCTTCTCCTTCTGCTAAAGCTTTTTTGTCTCCATATGCTTCTGGTACCATTTTTGCATAGAAATGATTGGGTGAGGTATCAAATGCAGTTGTGTCAAAATAAACTGAGCCATTAGATTCATAACTGTGAGAAAGCATTTTTTTTCATCAAGAGTAACAATACATGTTATCTTCAAAAAATTAATAATGAAATATTGTAATCAAAATCAAATTTCATAATATTATATAACAATTAAAAAATAATTTAAAAAAAACAAACAGGAGACAACAATAAATAAAGTACTCAAATTTTAAAAAGATGTAATTATAATTTAAAACATTTTATGAATGGGCTACTGCTCATATAATGGCAAATGTAAGTCAACATTGTTAGCTCAACTCAAACAACAAATTAAGTTAAAGTAAAATTTATTTGATTTAAAAACTTAAGGTAACGTTTTAAAATTTGCAGACATACGCATATCCATTTGTAATGATTTTCTGAATGTATTCAACAACTTCAGGGATGTATTCACTAACTCGTGTCAGCACATCTGCAGGTAGTACCTAAAAAAAAAAAACATCAATTAAAAAAAATATTAAATAAAATAAACTTTTTGACTTTTTTTAGTTTAGAAATTGTGTGAACTTAACCAAGCCTTACATTCAACGCCTCCATATCCTTGTGAAACTCCTCCTCCCAGTACTTTGGTAGACTAGAGAAAATGGAATTGTCTGTGACTCCTGAGCCTTTTGTTTTGTCTAGCCATGGTGCCAGAACATCACTGATCTCTTCTAATCTAACCTGGTGTAACACAAACCAATGGTGATTAGCTACTGTTTTACTTCCTACTTCTGATTAAGCCATAACTATAATGATTACTTAGTTACTCAAAATGTACACCAGTATAAATAGAATTCAAAGCTAACACTATAGGGACATATTATGTCAGGAAAATTACATTACTTTATCTCAAATCCTGCCAAAGGTGAGATAATACACATAAATAAGTAAAGAAAGCATTGAGTGTAAAGTAAATAATGATCTCTTGGGAAATAAATGGTGGCTACTGAAACAATAAAGTGAGGAAAAACCAAAATATAATAATCTATATTTCTTATATAATCTATATTTCTATATAATAGTTATAGTGTTCAAATTAAACAGTTTGTTAAAAATAGATTTTAAAAAAGGCCTTTTAAAAACAAAAAAATATCATCAAAAAACAATAAATTATAGTTTAACACTACACAGATTATAAAAGGATGGAATTAGGTGATAGTAACGAGCATGGATAAAGATACTATTTTTAAATATATTTCATTTATATCTTAACACAGGCGACAGCACATAATTTATATTAATAAAAAAGCATGCCAGGTTTTACATAATTAAACTATGCAATAAAACAATATGGAAAAGTATTTTGAAAATAAAAATAAAGTTAATCTGGAGCATACAGATGAGAAGCAACAACATCCAACAATCAAACCTCATACATGTTAGTTTTAGTCAGCTACCAAAGGGTTAATTGGGCAGGCTGCACATTCCCAACTACTCTATAAGGGCTAGCAGCACAGCATTTCTAAAAAAAGATATATTACAGTATTCACATTTTGTCCAGCATCTCCACTGTCCATTAGAGCCATAACTTTTTGCTGCATTTTGGTCAGCATGTTGAGTTTATCTGGGTCCGTTTCATCTGCTATCTTTGAATTTAAACGCTGCAGACATAAAAAAATTATTTTTTAGCTTTGTTACATCCTAAGCAATAGTTAAAGGTTTTATTTGATTAGAGGACATTTAAAATTAAAGTCTAGGTTATATTAGGCTCTGTTTTAAATATGAAGTGAAAATAATTGCATATCTAATCTTATTTTTTCATCTAAAGTAAAACAAAACAAAGTTGGTTAGGAGCTGTTTGTGTCACCTTTAAAGAAGATTCTACGTCCTGTTTCACCTGGTCAGGGCTGGGCTTACTGTCAATGTACTGCTGCAGCAAATATTGTTGTCGTGCTCTGACTATAATCTACCAAAATACACAACAAAAATTTCCTATTGAATTGTATGTAAACAAATCATAATTAAGGAGTGTTTTACAATACAAATAACTTGCTCAAAATATTTACCTTCTATGTGTGATCTAAAAAAATATTTTTAAAATAAGTTACATAACCAAGGTAAAAAAAGGTTTGCCATAGCATTATGTTACCTTGTCATCGATGTCAGTAATATTCATGCAGTAAAAGATGTCAAATTTGAAATAATCAGACAGGACTCGCCTCAAGATGTCAAATGAAATGTATGACCTATGGGGAATACAAAAAATGTTGATTCAAACCTAAACAAACAATAATGAAGACATTGTCAGTATTAGAAATTTTTAAAAATAAATTTTATTTTATTTTAAATTGATAGTTTTTTTAAGAACCTTGGTTTAAAATAGTTGTTAATCTTCCTTGCAGGGCCCATTTTTATTTCCTTTTAAATTTTTTATTTGTAGTCTTTTAAGAACTTAATTTAAATAACTTTTAATCTACCTATCTTGGCCCATGTTTATTTCCTTATACATTATTTTTGTTTCCAGTTTTTTTAAGAACTTTAGTTTAAAATAATTGTTAATCTACCTTGCATGGCCCATGTGAGCAGCATCATAGACAGTAGGGCCACAGTTGTACCATTTAATTGTGTTCCCAGATTGTGGAATGAAGACTTCCTAGTTGTAATAAAAAAAATTTTAAAACAATATCTTAGTCCAGTTTATAAAGTACTTTACTACAAAATACTGAATAGGAAAAACATGTTTAAAATTGCCCTACACAACTCAACAGAAACAACACACAATTGGACAAGAGACAATAACACCTAAAATAATCCAGTACAACTCTATTTGATTTAATATATACATACATTACTCTATGAAACAATACAGCACTATGTTCCTAACAAAGATAGTAAGTCTTATATGCATTTCTTTTTTTAACTCAATATGTACCCTCAAATGAATAAAATGTTGAAGTTCATAATGTTTGCTGAGTAATGTTCAAACACATCTGCTAAAATGCTTTTAAACAAACAAGCTTGACAAAAAATACCAACCGAGTAATTTGTTGAATGTCTGTGTTTTAAAATAGTTCAACATTTTATGAACCTATCTCTAGTACAGTTGCTTTGTCTTTTATTCCTAGCTAACAACAAGTGAAAGATTATGAACTAATAAAATCATCATATTTTCCCATTTGTGCCCAAGACTCATGGGGCAGATGAAATAGTTCATTTGAAGAGATAATGTGGTCAGCACTATACCCAGCCAACTTTATTTTCCCTAAACATGAGTTAGATACCCATCAGAGCTACGTGGAGTCAGGAACATTCTACTGAAAAAATATTTCTTTGATCATATTTCATACTGAACAATAATGCAAAAATTACCTTTTGTCGAGTCAAGCTGTTAAAAAGCTTTAATTTTGTTTTTCCTTCGTTTGAAGGAGGTTCCCACTTAGGTTGACTTCGTTTCATTTTTAGTTCAGAATTTTGCTATGGGAACCAATTCTGAAATTATTGAAACCTAAAGTTGTGATGTGGCATAGTAACGACATAGTCAAATGCTCTGTATCAAAATAAAGCATTAAAGTTAAAACAACAAGAATATTTTTTTTATCCAGTAGGCCCAAATAAAAGACATCATTTAAGAAGTTGTATGACAATCATTTATTTGTGATACATTTAATTACATTCGTCTATCAATCAAGATTTCTCAATTTAGCCCATCTAATTATTAATTTTAAAAAAAGTATTAGGGCTTATCTACTTTACAACGTCAACTGAGCAGTCAATTTGATTGTACCATTTAGGCCTATTACTAAATACTTGAATAACTTGATTCTTGACTTTTTGTACAACTCAACCACTCAATTAGTTATACTCTTTTAGTTCTTTAGTAATATTTAAATATTACAATTTAAACAATGTACACATTCAATCATTACTGTACTCAACTGTACTCACTGTACTCATCAGTCACTGAACTCAACAACTGTTACTCAGTGTGTGAGTGTAGTATAGTGTAGTTGAGTGTAGTTAAAATATTAGTATTAGTACTTTATGAGGCCTAGTATTATTATCTAATCTATGTGATACAATGCAGCTGAGTGCCACCAGTACAAATAACAAATGACCAACTCAGACTGAGACCAAATCAGTTCAGTTTTTTGTCAGTTACAGCAGCTAGCCTACTGACTTCGTTTTTTGTTGTTGTTTTTTTTTAGTTAGTCACAGCAATTCATTCAGTTAAAGTGAATTTTTATTTTATTTTTAGAGTTATCAAATGGTCTAATGAGAGAAACATTATTTTGAACTATTTTCTACAAACGGTTCAATTCAAAGAACGTATAAAACCCACATTTTACCTTTCAGTTTCAACAAATTATCACAGAGAATTGTAAAAATCTGTGATGATTGTGAAACAAGATGATGAAACAGGAAACGTGTTTTGTTTCGGTAGACCTATTTTATTGTTTTAAGCGAGTTCCGTACAACGAAACTGTAAACTGCTGAATTTAATAAATATTGACGCACTTATCAACAAACAATAAATATTAAACAAGCATAGGCCTACATTATTTTTATATTACTAATTAAATTAAACTATTATATTTTCTACCCGTCGGCGTCATACCCTATATAAAAATAAAATATGCTATAACTTTAAACTTTACATTATTTTTTGTATTATTCGAGGCAATCGAGGGGCCCAATATTTTTAAAATAATGTGGCATGTGGTTTAGATCTAATAAATATTAAAATCCTAACTGTTGTGGTTCTTGTTTGATTTTAATAGTATTTCCGGCAATTAAAAAAAAAAAAGACAGAAGCAATTTAGTTTTCATGTGGTAAATATAAACGAATAGAGTGGCTACTATTTGTCTATCGAACTACAGAGTTTCTTCCAGGCCCCCCCCCCCCCCCCCGAAAAAGTCTACTGCCCCCCCCCCCCCCGAACGAAATGAAATTTATATAATTTATATAGAAAATATATACTTTTAACAGTGCCCACCCCCCCCCCCCCAAGAAAGTCTACCGCCCCCCCCCCCAAAATTTACATGTCATGGTGTGGTCACTGAGTCTCTATACCACTCACACAGTGTTTCTTTCAGACTTTTCTTCGGCGGGGGGGAGGGGTGGACACTGATAAAGTATATACTGCTACTACTATATACTATATTTAATATAGTTTATACTATAGTTTCTATATACGTTCCATTTTGTTCAGGGGGGGGGTGAGGTGGGGGCAGTAGAAGAGATGCCTGAAAGAAACTCAGCCCACACCTCCTTCTATAATTTAGCATATTTGGTTAGGTGCCACCCTTCCAACATGATTTCCTTATTCCCATGAGGGCTGCAACTCCACTAGCAGCTCTCTTCAATTGACCCGCGATGTTGACCTCTTCCCTTCTCAGGCGTGCCAGATTCATCCCCATTTTCAGGCTTCAATATCACCGTCAATCGACTGTTTTACCCTTACACCCTACATTTCCATTTTTTAACTGGACAAAAATATTGTTTTGGACAGTAAATTTTGTGATTTTTCATTTTGGTGTTATCCCCTAAATGGTGTTACCTGGAGTGTATTGAACCCCATTACCTGCATTGTAACCACTAATGCTAAGAGTATTAGCAGGAATAAGAATTAAACTAAAACCGTAACACTTGAATTTTGCAAAATGCTAATGTAATTCAAATAGCCCTAGATAAGAAATTATTGAAAAGTTTACTATGTTTACATTTGGGGTGGGGAGCAACACATTTCTGCAGATGTAATAAAAGTAAAAGGATACTAGGCTAAGTATCCTCTTTATTTTGAATAACTTAGCATGCATTGTTCAAGCAATAGTATATGGTGATAGCTAAACATGTAGTGTGTATGAAGTCAGGTGATAGGAATGTGTGTAATAACATTTGCTGAATTAATGGTATGGCCTCACTTAAAAACAACACTGAACTGTCAGACTGAGTGCACTGTGAAGTAGTTTGCTGGACTAACACTAAAACAACAAAAATAAATTTGGATTTTCTGGAGGATGGGGGGGGGGGGGGGGGGGGGTGGAAGGGAGGCGAGCACTTGAAATTTCGAGGGGCACTGTTTAATTTTTTAAAAATTTCATCCGAAGAGTGGGGATCTACATAGAGACGCCTGAAAGAAACACTGCTAAGAACCAGGCTGTTATGTTCTAAATCCACCAAAGCATCATGATATAAAAAAAAGAATTGGTCACATTTCTCAACATTGCAGGAGAGTTCACTTTCACCGAGTGGTTAGATTTATATAAAAATGTGATGTTCAAAATAGCTTAGGCCAAAATTTGCAGGCTGACTATGCTTACTGCAGTAAATTTTTTTACCATTACACATTATATGGACAAACTACCCATATGAACTTGTTGGACTTACAGCGCTCACTAAATAAGATCAGTGTTTCTTTCAGACATTTTTCTCTGTGGGTGAGGGCGGAAACAGGTTGAAATATATATTTGTATATAAATTCTATTTTGATTGGGGAGAGATGTGCTTTATGAAAGAGATGCCTGGAAGAAACTCTGAACAAAATGCTGTCTGATACCATAATAGGTTACAATATCAGAAACCTCTTGCCAGTAGACAGGTGCAAATTATTGATTTCAACAAAGAAACACCTGAGGGTAATATAGAATATTATTTAATTGATTCAAATTATCTTGGTATTGTATATACAGTTCTTTTCTTTATTTGTAAAAATTCATTATTCATATAAAAATGCAAAAGCAACAAAAACAAAACAAAGTTCTTTCCATTATAGTTAGGTCTACACAAGAGAAACAATATGTTAATAATGAAATGGGAATCATTTAGCTGAGCAAATATTTATACAGTATTGTGAAACAATCATTAGCCAAGGTATACTAAATCATATATGAGGATAGATTAGATACATATTGTGCAAACTAACATTTCAAGACAAAAACTAAATTGGAGCCCCCCCCCCCCTCTCTCCCCCCCCTCCCCCCATGAAAGAGAAAGCAGCTGGGTGGAAACAAAGAGAGAGAAAAAAACAACAGATGACAGCAAGCAGCTCAAATGTCATGGGACCCAGCTTAGGGGAATCCCATAAAACTGAGTCTGGTGAAGAGGTGTGTTTGCACTTAATTGTTTCACAAACAGTCCAGAAATGATGATTGTGGGTCTAGGAATGATGATCGTTAATAATCCACACAATATCAATGTGAAACATAATGTAAGTCTAGTTTGTTAAATTTAATCAACGACGCATCATCATCTTTTCCCGTTTGTACCCAAGACACATGGGGCAGGTGAAGTAGAGTTCATCTCTTACTTAAAGATTAAAGCACACTTTGAAAAAAGGTGTATAATGATTTTAATCCATTAAAAAACTGACAAAAATGAACATTTTAGAAATATAAACTATCAAATTTAGAACACATTATTCAACAGATTCAGATCCATGAATAGTGATGACATGACTAAAACTAATACAGCTTTTGAAAAGAAAACTTAAGGGAACATTAATTTCATTTTAGGCCTTTTTTAAATGGGGGAGTGGGGGCAGGGAATTTGCAAACTAATCAACCATAGTGGGATAATGCTCTTCATGCTTGAAATAGGGTTTGGTTCATTAATTAAAATATAATTTAAAAATTTTTTTTTTAATTTTAAACTTAAAGTCAAAATTAAATAATTAAGCATGGTAGTAAAATTAATGTGTCAGCTAGGTAAACAATGGATACCCTGTCAATACCCAGTCAATAGCACTAACAAAAAGCAAAGGCAACATACAGTTTCACACATCACACTCAACATTCACTCTGTGGGTTCTAAGAAATCATGTATTTATTCACTCTACTAGCAGCAATAATGTTGAGTGAAAATATAAACGTATTGCTATTTGTAAAGTTTAAAAAAAAAATACAAATGTCACATTATAAAGTGTGGAATGTAAATATACTGTATACAGGAATGTAAATTCATTTTACAAGGCTTACACTAGTGAAATTAAAATGGAATGTTTGAAGTTCAAAATCTTGTAACTATCAGAAATACCAGGCCATAAATAGAATTTTTGCGAGTTTAATGACAGAGGTCAACTGTACAAAATAAAATTAGCTACTAACAATCGCTCTGCATTTGTTTCAAAATACAGATAAACCACTATATAAAATGTATCTTTTTATAAAAAATATTACAGTAAGGAGTAAATAATTTATGATGACAATAAAGTAGTTTAAAATCTATATAATTTAACAAAATAATCATTTAAATATATCTTTCTTGTTTTACAGCTCTTAGTTAAATCATACAATGATTTACTAACAATCAAAGTACCTACAAAGAAAGAAACACCAGTATGCTAAAAAGTTAACTGTTTAGTGATCATATAAAAATATGGATTTTTAAAAATTATTTAACAGTTGAAGATCAGCACAACCTTTATTATGATGGTGTAGTCTAGAACCCTAATCAAAAAATTATCTCTGAAAGCCATATTGTGTTATATTGCTATAGAGCAATATATCAAAGGGAATGCAGGTTGTTTAAAAATAGTATTATTAACAACTTTGTTGGGAGTTAAAAAAATATTGCTCAGACTTTGAATGTCAATTGGTTGACTATCTCTGCACAGAGTCTAAGTAGCTGCTGAACAATATGTTGTTATGTAAAGATTAACAACATTATGTGTCACTATCAATAATGAATGGGGCTTGAGCCAATTGTTTGATTCAGTGTATATACAAACATGACAGTGGCAAGAACATAAGTTTGTACTTTAAACCAAAGTTAGCAAACTTTGCCAGTGGCTAATAACTCTGAAAAAAAAACTGGGTCTGGCTATTATAGGCAAAATGAAAATGATAAAGCACTTACAAATATTTTTAACAAAGTTTTATATTTACATTTATAATCATTTATGTGATCAACATATTATATTAGTTTAAAGTTACATCAAAAAGCAAATTATTAATTAAAATATTTACATGTTAAAATATTTTTTAAATATTAAGCTAGACACAATACTTTAGTGCTCTTCAGCATTAAGGCAAAGAATACAAATGAAAATTATCATGCAATGTACAGATCATAAATTGAAGTAGCTCAACTGAAACATTACTGCATTAATAAATCAAGAAGAATGTTACTAACCGTTACAAAAATTCAAGTCTTTGCAATTGTTGAACACTTTTTCTAACAGACAAAAGACTTGTTTTGTAACTTAATTTAAATGAAAATTTAAAGGTTAAGATTTTAAATTTTACAAATTGTCTTTTTGTGTACAGTGATCAAGTTTGATTTTTTTGAAAAACAGTGAAAATATATTTTTTGTAAAATGTGGACTTAAGACCTTTTGGAAAAACAATCTAAAAAACAAAATACTTTTCTGTAGAGTATTTTTTTTTTATTATTCTTACTAAACTATAATTCAGTTACAGATTTTAAAATACTGCATTGGGATTATGGCTTTGAGACTGTTTAGCAAATAAAAAGCTTAAAACTACACACAACATCATACTATGCAGTAAACTAGCTGAAACTTTTTTTATTAAAGAGTTTTTGCTTCGGTTTAAAAAAAACACATTTGTTTAAAAATGCTAACCATTAATATCTCTTATTACTGTTAACATTTGTACACTTTTGATAAAACTAACATGATCCCAAAATTTAAAAAAAAAGTAATATGATTAACTTCTTATTATCTATGCTAATTAAATGGTACAGTATTATGAAACATCTGGATAAAATGTATACATATAAAAATTATATCAAAGATTATTTAAACTATTAACATTTATTATTGAATTATAATATGTAAATTATTGTATTATTGTACATTACCATACATGAAGTTCTTATATAGCCTTCTAAGAAAAATGGAATGTATAGTTTATATATAATCTAGTAAAGTAAAGAACAAACAACAAGAACTGCCTTCTTATGAAGAGAACAAAGGAAGAGAAGGCACAAGTAAACAGTAGTATGTTTTTAACACAATCTAACACACAGGTAATCAATGGCATTCATTTCTGTGATGGCTATGTACACACGCCTGGCTGAATGGAAAAAACTCTGTGACAGCCCCATTTGTTAAAGGGCATCAATGGGAAAATGTACAAAAAAAGTTTTTGGATTTTCGTTCATTGTATCAGTTTATATTTCTGTTTCCACCGACTCTTTATGTCTGTTTCCCCCTTGTTGCTGAAGGTACATCACGTCAGGTCTGTCGAGGTGGTCCCTACTTCCCCTTGAACTTTGAGCAGAGGGGACGTTTGAATAATTGAGCCGGTCTCTACTTTGAGATCTGGATTGAGGATTCATCGCTTCTTTGTACGTGGGTGGTCTGGACATCGTGTCCAGCTGATCCCTGCTGCCTCTCATGTTTGTGTTCTGGTATGATCTGTCTGATGGCGTAGAGGGCGTGAGCGGCGCCCTCGGCATGTAATCTACATTGGAATGATGGGAAGGTGTGTAGCTGTCAATGTCTGAGACAAGTGGACCCCTGAAGGTTGTTGGTTTGCTAGGGGTTGGCGGTCCAGCCAGACGGTCCCTGCTGCTGTTAAGTGCAGCTTTACCCATGGGTCTGGGCATGTAATCGGTGTCAGGTTCCTGTGAGACGCCGTAGTCTCTCCTAGCGGGGGTGTAGTCGATGGGCTCGTACCTGCCTGTTGATCTGCTTTCTCCAGAATTAGAACCTTCGTAAACAGGATCGTACAGTGGGGTGCGGTTAGAGCTGACGGCAGAACCAGGGGTGTTTTTATAATTGTGTGGTGCACCGGTGTAGACTGGGTCGTATACTGGTACCTGCGGACCTGGTTCATTGGTGTACAGCCTGTTGGGGATAACGCTGTGTGAGGTTGAGTGAGATCCTTGAGAAGTTTCAGAAGAAGCCGGAGACCAGCGCCCAGTTGCTGGAACCAGCGGCTGCCTGATTTCATCCTTCGCTGGTCTAAGAGGTGGCGCTGGTTTGGGTCGAGGCGCTGGCAATGGTAAACTCTTTTTATCCAGCTGCTCTACAGATCTTTTACTAAAAGTGTTAGGAAGGGGGTCTTTGGATGCACTTCGTGGCGGGAAGATGTCTTTACTTGGTGCCATTATAGGGTCAGTGAAGCTGGACACTGACTTGCTGCTTGTGGAGTTCTGGGTGCTGTCACTCTCTTCTGACGCAGCTCGGTGCAGACCAGACTTAACTGGCGTCGCCTGTTTATGATACAGCTGCTCCTGAGATTTCGTCACCCTCGTGTTTTTATACACCTGTTTTTCATTTTCATCCTCATCTTCATCAAAAGTGCTGTCCGAGTCAAAGTCTTCTTTCTCAACTGATTCATCAGAGCTTTCTTCCTCCTTTTTCATGTTTCTTCTCTCCTGCTCCATTCTCTTTCGTTCTCTCTCTCTATCCTGTTCCAGTCTTGGGTTAACCCTGGCTACATCTCTGGAAGTGTTCGCCGGTCTGGGACTAGCACCAGCTCTGTTGGGCCGCAGACTGTGAACTGGCCTGCCCTGGTCTTTGGGCATGGGTCTGCCCTGATCTCTGGGCACGGGTCTTCCCTGATCTTTGGGCAACGTGGCAGGCAAAACACGGGGGGCTATTTCATACTCAGACTGTTCACTGTGGACGCTTTCAGCAACTTCACTGCTAAATTCTGAACCTTGAGATGGTTTAGCTACTGAAGAAACAACAGACCTCTCATCAAACTCATTCATACGTCTCCTAGATGCAACATCTGACAGGATGGTCAAGGTTGATTTTGTTCCTCGAAGCGAGCTGTTGATTTTATTGAGGTTATTAATTGATGATCGAATTGATGCTGTTCTTTCAAATCGTTCTTTCTCCCTGCGTTTTGATTTCAGGCACCAAAGGATAGCAACGATGATGATGATAAGGATGATGACGCCACCAACACCAACACATATTCCAATGATCATTGCTTGAATGGCTTCAGTCAGCTGTGCAGGTGCAGCTATTAAAGGATCTGTAAAAAAATGATTTAAATTACCCATAGTGCTTCTTGTTATATGATCTCATGCTATGGTGATAAAAATACAATTATATTGAGAATAAACTTCCAAAAATGTTATACCCAAGTTGTAGAGAAACTATTATAGAAACTGATATAGATTCATAATATACAGAACAAATATATAATGATAAAAAGCCCACAACTACATGCTATTTTTGTGTTTAAAAAGAAATAGTTATAAAATCTGTCTGATTAAAGGCTAAAATACTCTTGATAGGCATCAGGGCCAAAGTGGTAGGGTTCACATTTTTATGACAATAATATAAGAGGGAATTATGTAGCCATTATAAGCCCTAAAACAATTTTTTTTCTAGCCCTCAACAGAAAAATATACTGTAGAAAGAGTAACCAACAGAAATATTTCCTGTAGAGAAAAAAATAGCCATCAGAATTATATCCTGTGGCAAAAAAAACAGCAAATACAAACATATCCTTTAGAAAAAACAAAAAAGCAAACAGCCTACCAGTTTCACAGATAAAGGGGTAGTAAAGACGTGCACAATCCTGCTCATAGACTATGTAGTTCTGCTCAAAGGATGCGCAGCGTCCATTACCAGTCTCAGACATGACCCAGACCCGTTGAGCCCAGTTCATGTCAATCACCATCAACCTCAGTAAGTAATTAAAAAATCCTTCTCTGTCTTTTGCCTCAGCTAAATAAGCTCCATGCAGCTAGAATAAAATTTAATATAAAAAGTTTAACCTCCGCATAACAAAACAATTTTTAAAACAATTATGGGAATATAACTGACATATTTCTTCTATTGTTAAATATAGAAAGCTTCTTTTAACATAGTGCTGACAAATTCAGTTTAACATTTATACTAATAATTTTTTATCCAAGTAACAAAATGGAAATATTATAAATGCAAGGTCAAATATTTATAACTTTTGATTAACTTCAATTTTTTTACATTGGATATAGAGGCTTAATGCTTAGTGGTCTTTAATTTGTTTTAAAAAGATTTTATCCCAAGCCTTTTAAAACTTACCAGACAGAACTCTTTAGCTTTCTGGTAGGGCAAAGCTCCTCCCATGTACCGATAACAGCGATTAGAATCCAACACCCACCCCGGTAAACAATTACCTGTAGAATAATAAAATACAAATATTTGAAAAATGTGCATTATTTAGCCAATTCAAACTACAACACAAGTAATATAAAACTTATTTTAAACCCAAAGGGATTTTATGCAACCTACCTTCAACCAAAGACCGGTTGTCAAGAATGGGTGGCCAGAAATCAACTTCAACCAATCTGGCATCATCACTGGCATCGTAGGTCTTGCCATTGATATATGCCCGGCGCTCAGATCCCCACCAGTTTGTTTTGGCATCAATGTTCCCAGCATCTTGCCTAGAAATAACAATATATACACATTCATTGTCTCAAATAGTTAAACAAAATTTAAAATTAAAAAACCGGATTATTTTTTAAAAATATTAAGCATAAATTGATTAAAATCTCAATTCTGTATTTTTTGTTTCTACGGCTTATCCGAGAGTGCTGAAATTAACATTTTTATCAAATATATAACCAGTGGACTCCTAAAAGGTGGGCCATCACTGGTGACAGCTTCAGAATTTAGCTTTAAATTTTTTACAGCTTCTGGCTATCAAAGAAATATATCACAATAAAAATACTTTAAAGGAAAAAAAGAAATCTTCAATACAAATATTGAACTTTTTTACTTACAGAGGTTTAGGATAAGTCTCCATCTCAAAATCATTGAGATCATTGACCAAGAAGTTATTAATGAACTTTGGCCTGCCCTGTCCAATTTTGATAGTGCTCTCCCTCAGTGCAGTAGAATTGTTGTTGTAGATTCCATTGCGGGAATACAGCTGAGGCTCGGCACTGTCATCACTAGGTAATAACAAAAAAAATATGTCTGAACAGGATAACATACAATAAAATTTTAAAACTTTAGTAAGTCAACATTTAGACCCTGTAATGTCATCACTAAGTAATAACAAGAAAACTTTGAAAATATGTCTAAACAAGATAACGTACAGTAAAATTTTAAAACTTTAGTAAGTCAACATTAAGACCCTGCACTGTCATCACTAAGTAGTGAAAACAATACTTCATAAATACTTTGTAAAGTTGGCACACAATAGCAACTTCAATGATGTATTGTAATATCGATGCATTTTTTTAAAAAGAAGTTTTAATTCTCATAAAAAATAGAATAATACAGCAGCTCTATTATCTAATAAGTTCTAATTGTTTATTGGAAAAATGAACTTACTTGTTGTATATATGCAGAATATAATGTCCGAGATTACGTAACATGTAGTTATGAGTCAGATTGACAACAACATTCTTTACATGGAAGATATCTCTGTAGTCACCTAGAGTATAATTTTAATAAATATTATAATGCGTAATTAATTTTAAAATATTATTTAGTTTGTACCATTAGAATATAATCTTTAGTTGGAAAGTATAACTTGGGATTTTATGAGCCATAATATTTAGTTTGTAACAAAATATTTTTACAAAAAAAGTATATTTATCTTTTTTAAAAAAGCCATGTAAAAGTATGGAGTTAATTTATGATTTTTCTCTGAAGTTTCTGTTAAGATTTAGCTTTGATTTAAGAACTGGGATGAATATTATAAGCTTTAAATTGCATTCATAGATATTTTACAAGAAAGTACAAAAAAGTGGAAAAAATATATAATCGATGGACCTAGAACACACATAAAACTATGCACTAATATGAGAGTTAATATTCATTACCTGCTGTGTAGTTGTAGATGTAGTTCTGGTGAAACATCAGCCTCTGGAAGTAGTGACCAGAAATGTTCAGGGCCTCTCCGTTTTTCCCAAAGGCAAAAACATTGTTGGTGATGTTTCCTTTGAGGGCTGTGTTGATGGTTGTGGTGTGAGCAAACAGGTACATGCCTCCATAGTTGTAAGCGACCTGATGGACAGAAAGAATTTATTTTGGAATTTGTAAACAATAGAGTCATCAATATTTTTTCCTGTTTGCGCCGAATGCATATGAGGCAGATGAAGTTGAGTTCATCTGTTTCAATGGCCTTGGCATACAAGGAGATAATATGGTCAGCACTATGCCCGGTCACAATTGTTAGGTACCCATCAGAGCTGGGTGGACTCAGGAATGTTCATCTAACTTGAACCTGGATTTGAACTCGAGACTTTCGGGGCTAGCAGTCTAGCGCTCTACAGCTAGGCCACGCTGTCAAACAATGGAACACAGGAAATATTTTTTTTAAATCAATTTTTAAAAATTATTCAAAGCAAAGAGGATGTATGAAAAGTTTCTGTTTGTCTTACCTGGTTATGAGAGAATCTAAAACTGATGGTACTCTGCAGGGAAATGTCTATGGTGGGAGGGGATGTAAGATTTAAGATGGGGAATCCGTTCTCACTGATGTAGCAGTGTTCTATAAAAACGTTTGGAGTTGTCTCCCCTATGTTTTTGTACTGAATTGCTCCATCTTCATTCTTTCTAATTTCAGCTTGATACAGTCTGTGATTGAATTCACTATCTACAAAAGAAAATTTAAAAAAAAAACATTTTTATATTCAGCTGTTGTATTCTAACAGAATAAAACCAATTACATTATTTAGATTTAGGAATTATAATTTGTTTTAAAATTTAATCGTGATGTTTCAGTTTTCAGTTAATTACAATAGAAATAATTACAACTATTAGTTTTCTATGAATGCTACAAAAATGAAAACCTTTTAATTATATTCATTTGTTTAAATAAATTTGTATTTATACATTATAATGGTAAAAACTTGTATAATTATAAAAAAAACTTGTCTCAACTATCTCAAAAAAAAAAAAAAAAAAGAAAACTTACTAGGATAAGTTAGACCAGCTACAGGAAGCTTGACCACCTCTGCGATAAAACCATAGGACCCAAAGCTGATAGAAGCGTGGACGTGTACGGCCATGGTGTCTCCTGTCGTCTGGTACAGTTGCTGAATTTCTGCTGAGCTGCTGTTGGCAACCAGCCTGCCTAGCCTGTTGTTATCCACAGTCTGGCCATCAAAGATCTCCACCATGTTACGATTGAAATCCTCTTGGAAGAGGTTGATCTGCAGGAACCTGAGTCCAACAAACCTTCGTGTTCTGGAGATGAAGAAATTGTATGAAATATTTTCAAACTGGACTCGTCAATGAAAACGAAAACAGGGAAGGCCAAGAGAGTGGTACGCAACAGAATACAACTGATAAGTGAAGTATTATCATGGCAGAAAGCCAAGAAAATTGCTAGAGACATGTAAAAAGTGGAAAGAGCTTTTGCCCATGTGTCCTGGGGACACAAGGGAGAGAAATGATGTTGATGTTTTTAAACATGTAAGGTATTAGCATTTTCAAGAACCTTATTAGGTATTGCTCTAGTTCCGTTTATGTTCAAAAACATTTAAATTTTTTATATGTAGTACTTATGGCCAAAATATAAAAGAAAACCAAAACAGACTTACCGAATAACTTTGACACAATCTCTCATCAAAGGGCCATATTTGTAAAAGAGAATCATTCTTGTTTCCAGGAATATCTCTTTCTCCATCCTACAAATATCTACAAGACCGTACACATTGTATGGTATAGTACTTGGTCCATTTGGAAGGAAAGAAGATCGTCTATCACTGGACTCTCCATTGAGGATAAGGGCATTTATCCCGAATCCCAGATTTCCAGAAATATTTTGCCGCTGGATGTTGAGGTCCTGCCGAGGTGCGATGATGTCATAACCATTCTCCGCGCACTTTGTAATGTTGATGTTTTCAAAGATTGGCGTTGTGTACGTCGTCTGAATGGCACCAACTTTCTCCCCATGCAGCATGCCTGCGCCTTCAATATCCACATACGTCATGTACGAGCGGTCAATCCCAATATCCGCCTGCAGTGGCTGTTCTTCAAATGAATCTTTAGCGAACCTGACATTACCCCAATAATTCAAGCCAGATTCCAGGTTTCTGTCCCCGCATGTGATGAAGGTGTAATTCGCGGCATAAATACAAGGCAGTAGGTTATAGTTGTACCTGGTCACACACTGGCTCAAGGAGGTTTCATCCCCACCACAGTTGTATGTGTTATACCAAAACTCCTTCCTCATGTACATTGGCTTGCCATAGATGTAGTAATCATAGAGGTAGGTAAATCGAACTTTGACGTTAATTGTCTCTTTCCCCAACTCCCTGCACACGACCTCTGCGGTTTTTTCATGAAACTGGCTATCGCACATCATGTTCCATGTTTTTGACGAAGCATTATAGAGTTCTAAAAATCCTGCATTTTTAAACAAAGTTCCATCTCCCCGCAGGCGAATATTAGCTGTAGCAGCTTGCCGTTTCTCTCTGTCATGCCTCTCCAAATCACCTGCAGCAGTTAGTTCTTTTTCTCTTTCATGGCTGGTCAGATCTCTCTTCTTGCGACCAGTTAGAAGGTAATTGTATTCTGGCTGCAATGGTCTCATCTTTATCCTTGCGAACGGGAGGCCCTTGGCGTCTAGTCGACCCAGAACGAGGATACCGACGTTAGGAAAAAATTGCAGGTCTGTCCCAGGTGGGATGGTGAGGGTGATCCCAGGCATGACAGTTAGATCAGATTTGACTATATACGGCCTGCCAATCTCCATCAGAATTTGAGACTTTTCCACTCTACCTCCAAGTTGGTTTGGATCCAAGTGAATTTCCTCTACTGCTCCAGTCGAAGGTACAGAGTTAGGGTCATCCCTTGTAAGGTAAGGGAAATATTTCGCAATGACGTAATTATTCCAATCGTCAAAGTCGAAAATTCTTTTTCTGATGCTTGGCTGGTCGGTGACCCCCCAGTAATTGAGCGTCAGATCCATCTCATTGCCTAACGTGAGCGCCGTGATGCCTGCCACAAACTCAAAGCTGAGGTCTGGGTTGTTGAATACGTTGTAACTGCCGCTCATATCCTGCAGCCCCTTTATGGCAACAGCGTATTTCTTAGGGCTGATTGCCGCACCTGGAGGCTCAATGCCTTCGTAACGGTTGCCAGTAATTCGGTTGAGATTCATCTGTCCTTTAAAAGACGTGGCGTTCTCGGAGTGACTGCTTATGTCGATGTCAATCATGTAACGGCCGATGTTGCCTGTGATCAAGTTACTGCTGACAGTTAAGTTCTTCTCCATCCCAGTGATGGAGACCAACCCCAGCAGGCATTTGTTGTTCATGAACTTATTTCTCTGCACTTGAACATTGGCATAATAACCAGCAATGGTACAAGCAAAGTTGAGGTTGTTCTGAAAAACAGAGTCCACTATACTGACAGCGTGCGCCTTGCCTTCGGATAAATCATTCACCCGGGGTACCTCGATCTCTAGCCCTCCTTGCTTAGAGCCTTGCAGTGTCACGTGATCAATATTCCACAGCCAGACGTTGTTAGCAAAGTCAACATGATTGTGTTCAGCTAATATGCCGTAAGCATTATCCGTGAAAATGGACTGGAACACTGTGTATGTTATTCTGGCAATACGCTCTGGCCGTGTCATATCTTCATATGAGGGTATGTAGTCATCTGTAAATTTTGTAACACTAGGCATGTGCATGGCATGGCGTACACTGTTCAACACTTTTAGATCCTGGAAAATAAAATAAGGTTTTTATTTTAAATTAAGAGGCATAGTATTAGACAAAAAAGATGCTTTTTATCAGATTTGTAAATGTCATACAGTAAAAGAATCTTATTAAAAAAGAATAGCAGAGAAATCAAAGAGAACCTTGAAGTACAGCCAATAACAAAGAAATCAAAGGGTACCTTAAAGTACAGCCAATAACAAAGAAATCAAAGGGTACGTTCAAGTACAGCCAACAACAAAGAAATCAAAGGGTACGTTCAAGTACAGCCAACAACAAAGAAATCAAAGGGTACCTTGAAGTACAGCCAATAACAAAGAAATCAAAGGGTACGTTCAAGTACAGCCAACAACAAAGAAATCAAAGGGTACGTTCAAGTACAGCCAATAACAAAGAAATCAAAGAGTACCTTGAAGTACAGCCAATAACAAAGAAATCAAAGGGTACGTTCAAGTACAGCAAACAACAAAGAAATCAAAGGGTACCTTGAAGTACAGCCAATAACAAAGAAATCAAAGGATACCTTGAAGTACACCCAATAACAAAGAAATCAAAGGGTACTTAAAGTACAGTCACTAACAAAGAAACCAAAGGGTACCATGAAGTACATACAGAAACAAAGAAATCAAAGGTACCTTGAAGTACAGCTCCTCCTCAACGTGTCTGTGAAAAATCTCCAGCCTGCGATTGGAAGGGTTGTTGTAATGTTTTGTCACAATCCCTTGATTATTGCCTGTAAACGATGTGTTGGTAACCGCTGTTCTAAGCTGAGGAGGTAGTGTGTCAAACTGGCCTGAAATTAAAAGAAAATTCTTTTAGAAAAGCACTCCTATGTTTTGTTTTTATTAATACTATTTTGTTTTTGTGCAAAATAGAAAAAAAAAGTAGCCTACAGGTCTACTATTTTGATAAGCGAATTAAATATATGGCGGTAGCACATGCATAATTTATTTCTTTAATAGGTTATAGATACAAAACATAACTGAAGTAGTAAGCAATTTCATCATAATTAAAGCCATGTTTTGATTTGTATACAGCAAGAATGAATTTAATTGTTATTTTTTCAATAAAAATTAATTTATCATAATTTTTTTAAAAACTGATGTGTTGTTTATTTTGGTGAAAAATTTGATATATTTTTCATATTTATATCAACTATTAGAAAATTATTATGTATGACAATATAAAATCAACAATCTGAAAATTACGTGCCTCACAGTCCTGAAACATATTTTTATCAAATTGTTATTGATACCTTAAGAGTTAGAGGTACAGTAATGATTCCATGGGAACAGAAAACTCAAATTCTCAAATGTAGAATTTCACAAACATTAGGCTTCAAATTCCATACAATTTAAAAAAAAATGACTTTAAGGTGTTGATGTTTTTTATGGTGCAAATTTGATGCTGTGCTAAACTTACGACAAATAACAGCAAACGCCAGCCGGCCAGAGAGCTGGCCAGTGAGCTGAAGCTGGATGGTGAGGATATTGGAGCTGGACAGGATGGGAAAGTCAACCAGGTCCTTCTCTAACTCCCATCTCTTTATGTTGCTTGAGGAGATCATGTTGACACCTGAGTCAAAAACTGTAACTTTTTCTGCTGACTCAACAGGGAGGTAATCCAGAACCTAAGGGAGAGCATTTTAAATAATTAAAATGAAATCAACTAGGCATATGAAAATTAAAAAAAAAAAATAATAGGCAAGAAATACATTTAAAAGTGCTGAAAGGTATGGTATCAACTTTAAAAAAAAAACATTTTTTTTTTAAAAATGTATAGGCCTAGTATTTAACATTAGCTAAAATTTCTTTTAAAAATTGGTAGTGATTAGCTCTAAACTGGCATTTATAACAATATATACAAGGCAACAAATTAGGTACCCTGTCCCAGGCAAATGGCTGGATTACACCCATAAACTTTTTAGAATGGCAAATACTATTTCTTCTAATTCCCTGCAACTGAGTGGATTACATCCATAGTCTATCTCAAACTCATTGGTTTCCTTTTTAATTGGTGGTGGGGGGGGGGGGGGGGGGGTAACAACACTGACACAGATTATATAAAGTTGTTATAGTCAAAATACATCAAAGCAATCTGCATATCTTTAAGCCCATTGTAAAAAGCAACATATGGACACAATCATCATAAAGAGAAAAGTCTAGGCAAAATAATTTAAAGAGGATTAAAACTAAGATTAACAATTATTTATATACGAAACTGTACATGCATATTAATAAAACTGAATACTTTGTAAAGCTGATATTTTTAATAAATTAAATTTTTTACCAACGTATGGACACAATCATCATTAAGAGAAAAGTCTAGGTAAAAATAATTAAAGAGGCTTGAAACTAACATTAACAATTATTTATATACAAAACTCTACATGCATATTAATAAAACTGAATATTTTAATTTTCAAATTAAACTTTTTACCTGAAGTGCAAGCTTGTTAGATGGAGAGCTACCCCTCAGCTCTACTGTCATTGTTTTCCTCTCCACTACGCTGCCAGCATCACAAATTAAAAACATGATCTGTTCCTGAACCAGAGTCCTGGTCGGCATGCCAAACATGCTAATCCTCCTATCAGGGTAGATCATGTTCCTTACGAGAAGAGCATCGTACTCAGAGAAGAATGGATCGTACATGAATCCGGCCTTTAGGTTATTTTCAATCTTTGAGTGCATCAGCTGTAGAGATTTTAAAAAATGTTTAAAACGTTGGACTTTAATTTTTTTTTAAAACAGTTTAAATTTTAAAAATTACTTATTAATACATTGTAATATCACAGACTAATTTTAAATGGGCTTGAATTCACACCTCAAGTTTTGATTAATAGTTGTTTTACTATCATTATAAACTAAAAAGTTGAATGTTTGTGCATTAAATTAAAAATATGGAGTTCAAACACTAATATTTTTAAAACTATTTAAATTTTATATAAGATAAATATTATATCAAAATTTTGTGGATGAATTAACAATTTGAATCCTTACATCGAGTTTTGGTGATTTGGTAACCAGACCATTCCCGGCATTATTGAGGAGAGTGAAATACTCCATTTTGTTCAAGGCAAAAGGATGGTTGTATGAGAAGGAGACGCCATCAGACATGGAGTTCTGCACTGTCAGGTAGGAAATCTGGTAGTAGTTGTAATCTATGCGGAGAGCTGGGGTCAACTGTGACGTGTCAGGGTCAAGCAGCCCACCATTGAAAATCTTGACATGTCTAATCTGAGACTCGACTTGCATTGGTTTGTTTTGATCGTGCCTGTAAGCTGCTGCTAATGTTACACCTAAGTATGAAAGGAAAAGTTGTTTAAACATGGAAGTTAGAAAAAGTATAGGATCCGCTGATTACAAAGTGTTAAGTGTTTTATTTATTCTGAAAAGCAATAAACAAATTTAATTTTATTACTAGAAAATAAAATTTATAAAAAAACATTATAAATAATAACATCAGCCTTTGTTTTTTAAAATTTACTGTGATAAAACTACTAGTTTTAGTATAGTGAAAAAATAAATAACTCCAACTGTCAATAGCTTACTTTATAAGTTGTTTCCCTTACCTGCCCATGTTGGTCGAAAGCATCGCAAGTAGACATCTTTATCATGACTGCAAGTGTGTGCATCTGCATTTACTGCACGGCATTTGGTAAAATCCGTGTCCACCTCATCACAGGACACCCAGCTCATGAGAACAGGTGTGCCGTCAGGTGCCCGCTTCTGGTCACGGGCGGTCGGGTATTCACGGTTGAATGCAAGTCCCAGTTGCAGGCAGGCCAGCATGGAATTTTCTTCTATCCAACCCTGAAGGAAATTTTTTTAAACAAAGGCTTGTGACCAAAAAAACTTTATCAGATTTTTTTAAAACTCTGATCTGTGAAAACTCTTTATTGTTAAAGTAGTGCATCTAGCATCTTCTAAAAAGTGTTGATAGTGGTTGAAAGGGGTTTAGCAAGGTAGTATTTTGAATATCTACAAGGGATGAGTGGTACAAGACATTGAATTGCTAAGTCTGGAAATTAAGCCCTTGCAATGTTCTTGAGTATTCCAGTAACCATTAGATACCTGATACCAGCTATTAGTTTATATTCAATTAATTTTAAAACTTCTTCATATGAAACTAATTAAATTTAAAACATTGTTTTATCTAGTTTTTTAAATAGGATTTGATACATGAAACACTTACATTAACTATTATTACAATTTATTTAATTAATTTAAAAATCTTATACTAATTTTAATTAGTAAAACGTGGGACTTCATGGCCGAGTAATGGGGTGCCAGACTAACCCGAAAGTCTCAAGTTCGGATCATGGGCTTAAGTCTGTAGGATATCGCTGTCCACCCAGTTCTGATAGGTACCTGACTCACATTAGGGAAACAAAAGTCACTGGGCATAGTGGTAACCACACTTTCCCCTTTTATGCCTACATCAATGAATAAACTCTACTTCATCTGTCCCATGTTTTTTGGAAACGATAAAAAAATAATAATGAGAATTAGCGACACATAAAAAATCTTTAATTTAAAACAATTTACTTACATCCCAGCACACTGTTCCCCACTGGCCATTGATCTCAACCTCCAGCCTGCCCTCAAACTCATCTCGTCCATCAACCAGACGTATGCTGGCCGTACGATTTTCCATTGGGACAAACTCCTCTTGATCATCCACATCCAGAATGACAGGCGACCCCAAGTTTATTCCATCAGCTGTCAGTAATCCATGCACCACGATGCCGATAGATGTGGCAAACTTCAGCTTGCTATTTGGCTCAAGCAATAGTGTCTGGAAAGAAATCCAACCAAAACATGTGTCACATACATGAGGGGCAATGTTATAAATCCAAGCACACAAAAAAATGACACTTATGCTTTCAGAGCTATAACTAGACTAAGTTACTATGCACTTTCCATTCAGTACGAAGTTAGAATTTTTTTATCAGTGTACCTTAAAGTATTGTATTGGGCCTAAAATATTTTCATTTGGTTTTTATTTTTTATTTTGTCTAGAGTCAAGACGTTTATTAATAAGCATTTTGGTGATTTATTTTATAACAGAAATTCATACATTTTATAAATTCTATAGCAGGGTAAAAACTGTTTTTTTCCCTCTTTACTTTTGGTAAGCAAGCAAAAATGCTTAAGAATTATTATAACAGTTTTATTCTAAGATCAAGTTAGTCATGAAGAAAGTGCAATAAAGTTAGAATTTTACTTACCTTATCTTTGAAAACGTATATATCTTTATCAACATAATAGGTTTTTCCAGCTCCTACAACAAAGGTAGACATTTCTAAAACCCCACCAATAACATTCCCTCTTTGGAAACTCCAGACATACTGAGGTATATCAGTGGAGAGGTAGTCATCATACAGGCGAAGGGTTCGCAGTGCTGGGTGATATTCAATTTGGGCTAGATTGTAGCGATCATCCTGATAACAAACAAATAATGGAATAGATTAAACAATGCTAGAAAACAATACTTTTTAATTTTATATAAATAAAAATATTTTTTTCCTAAATTACTGTGCAAAAGTTTAAGTAAAAACCAAATGTAAATTACACATAGTTAAAAAACAATGTTTGGAATTATAAATATGCACTTAAACGTATGATTATAAAAATATATAATTTAAAAACTATTAATAAAAACTAGTATTTTATTAAATAAATAAAAGTAAATATAAACATTTTATGTCAAACAAATGACTTACTTGATCAAAAATAGAATTGTAAACTTTCTCATAGTCAGACTGCTTGTTTATTTCTGTCCCCCAATAGTTTTCCTTGGCATTCAATTTGATGGATGGATCTGTTAGGTGGGTGGCGATTTCTCTCACAGAATCCGGGTTGTTGATGTGATTGCGCATCAGTTTAACATTGCTGGACGACACGACTATAACCGCATTGGCCCGGCTTCTAGGGTTGACATACATGAATGAGTTATTGATTTCATTCCTGATAAAATAGTTGAATTTGCAGTCGATATTTTGTGGAGCGCTGTACTGAGTCAAACGAAGGCTAACCACATACCGCCCAGAGTTGTCGGAAAATTCGTTCTCGAAGATATTTAAATTAACAGGAAAGTCACGATACCACCTGCTGAGCAACAGGTCAAAGCCGTTGTCTATTCTAAAAGTGGCCAAGGTGTGATTGGAAAAGGTATTGTTGGTAATTATGCCTTCTGTGTTGAGCAAAGGTCGCATGAGAATTGCATGCCTGAAGTTATCATTAAACCGGTTAAAAGCTATTCTAAGCTTTGTCTTGTACATTGTACTTATATTGCATGATAAATATTCTATAGCGTCGTCGTAATTGTAAGCAAAGTAGCTCTCATTGACAAGGAAGTCTCCTCCCAAACAGTAGTTCCCCATTCGGTATCCAATAAACTCATTCCACATAAAAGTTGCTCGGACAACCTCCACTTTGTTTCGGGACTCTATACGCGTACGGTTTAGCCTCATATACTCTGTGATGATCCCGTATCCCTTGTTACTGATTAACTGCGTGTTATTGATCAGCTGATAACCGCCGGAGTAGGTTATGTTTATACCGGCGTCCATGTTGTTTTCAATGCGCGTCCCGTTAATGACAATTTCTCCGGCACCTTTGTACACGTGAATCCCAGCCCCAAACTGGTTGTTGGAAATCACTGTCTCATTGCTGACTCGAATTTTGCTGCGCATGTCTTGTATGTTGACACCATAGCCGATGTTGTCGTGGACATTGGACATTATCAACCTAAAATCTTCCTCAACATCTGCAATAGAAAACAACAAAAGTGAGCAGTTCAAAATAATTGAATCAGTACAATTTTAAAATATTTTAATTCACATTTTCCTTACCATGAAGCAAGAGATAATCACTGATAAAATATACACATATTTGGTTGCCCAACAATATATCAGTTTGTAATAAATGTTTTTAAAAAAGGGACCTTTATTCAAGTTAGATTTCATTAGATGTATAATGATAAAAAATAAACAGTTTCTCACCATAATTTGAAGTAAATTCCAATAAAAATCGTATGCAGGATGGAAGCACTTTGCACACTCTATTTCGAGGTATTGAGTATACAAATTTGACATATAAGCGATTGTTCTTTGTAGTATAGGACTCTGGGAAAGAGCCATTGTTAATAGGAAATCTGATCTCTGGTGCTAGAAATCCACCATCTTGAAATATTAAAGTTCCATTGGCTTCTGGATCTCGTTCCATAATCATGAAATGGACTCCAATTTTCATGTTTTCAGATGTGTAATACATCTGAAATAAATATTTAACTGGTGTTAATTTTCAATTAATTTAATTTTAAGGGTCTTTGCTTTGGGAGATTACTGAATTTTAAGAAAAAAAAATTTTTATGCAATAAGGTAAGTTCAGCAATTTAAAAAAAAACTATAAGTACATTCAGCTTAGATCTCTAGTAAAAGTTAATACTATTCTGTGTGATTCAAATATAAAACAACTATTATGCTTTAAATAACACAAAAATCTAAACATCCAATAAATAATTCAGATAAAATCAATTCTGAAACAATTATAAACTTTTTCAAAATAAGTTATGAGTAAACATGAATAAAGTCTGTTCACAATTCTGAAACAATTGTAAACTTGTTCAAAACAAGTTAATTAAAAAGTCTAGTGACATTTAAGCGCAATTTCCTTATGTTATCTAAAAATACCTCTGTCGTAGCGTAAATCAAGAGCAGGGTTAGTAAAACCATTGGTTAAAATACATGTTTTATTTACAATAGAGTTACATGACTAAAAACCATTGCGTGCCTAGCTACTGAACGTGATGACGCAGCCATTGAACGTGATGGCGCAGCTATTGAACGTGATGACGCATGTGGTGTGGTTGGATAAAAAGGCCTACTAATTCGGTCCAAATTTTAATTAATTCAAACATTTTTTTTGTGACCGAACGAAAGGATATTTTTGAAAACTTTCTACGGCAATATTGTTCTAAATTATGGCAGGAATCGATTGGTACATGTTTCAAGTCGCTAAGTGGTCTGGTTGCCGAGGTATGGGCCAAAAACTGCATTTTTTCAAGGTTTTTTGGCTTTTCCGGGAAATCCATGAAAGAAACCCGGAATTTTTATGGCCTATGTTCATCCTCGTAACTTGCTTAACATAATTGGTTTGGAACTAGTCCTCGATATTGCTTCGTTGAGGAGGAGATACGACTTAAAGCTGCGGACACACATTCATTCATCCATCCATTCATCCATCCAGAAATGACGGGTTAATAAACGCAATTCTCCAGAATGGAAATTGCGCTAAAAAGTTATGAGTAAACATGTATAAAGTCTGTACACAATTCTGAAACAATTATAAACTTTTTCAAAATAAGTTATGAGTAAACATGAATAAAGTCTGTACCCTATCACAGGATCCACCAACAGAGACCATGGTCAGCTGATCACCATTGATCTGAACAAGGTCCATGTACTGATAAAACGGGTAGCTTGCCCCTTCAGTGTTGGCCTGTGCACACATTGAACTCTCAGGTGGAAACTTTCTCCGAAAGTCAAAAATGGTCAGGTTGCTGACATAGAATTTGATCCCATCTCCCCAGTTGTGATGCACCTCTGTCATATTGACCAAAGTCCTGCCAACTGATGACTGTATGAACATACCATAACCTGCAAGGTATAATTCAAATTGAAACACTGTATTTATACACACATTTAGACATACAAAAACATACCATAACCTGTAATATATAATTCAAATTGAAACACTGTATTTATACACACATTTAGACATACAAAAACATACCATAACCTGCAAGGTATAATTCAAATTGAAACAATTGTATTCATACAAACATTTAGACACTCAAAAAACATACCATAACCTGCAAGGTATACTTCAAATTGAAACACTGTGTTTATACGAACATTTAGAAACACACGGAGTGGTCTAGCGGTAGAGAGCTGGACTACTAACCAGTAAGTCTCGAGTTGGAATCCGGGTTCAAGTCAGTAGACCATCCCTGAGTCCACCCAACTCTGATGGGTACCTAACTCACATTAGGGAACGTAAAGGCAGCTGGGCATAGTGCTGACCACACTATCTCTTCATATGCCAAGGTCACAGAAACAAGTGAACTCTACTTCACTTGCCCCATAGACCGTCAGGTTTGAAAGGGAAATTTACTAGACACACACAATACATTTTTTAAATTATACTTTTTGAAATCATTTTGATTTCTGAAGTTGAAACCAGTTCTTCTTCATCTTTTTTGTTTTTAATTTTAGTATTGGGGAGGGAGGCTTCCCTCCTTCATAATTAGATCTAAGTATTACATTTCAACATTTAAAGTGCCATATGGCCAGTTGACATTGAGTTCAGCCTGCTTTTTTTTTGGATTTGTTCCCATAGACTTTGTCCATCCAAGAACAATCTGCAATACAGCAGTTGTCTCTCCTAGATGAGTTGCCGTCCCCAGCTGCCTGAGTGTTCAAAGTCAGGACTTTTTGGTTTAGCAACCATGAGTTACCTGCCCAATCATGCCTAACCCATTGAAATCAGTTATATATGTACATTTTAACATGTCTTAACAGAAACCATTTTCATTCAAAAGAATTCACAAAGAAAAAGTAAAAAATAAATAAATAAAGACCTCTATTATAAGCAAATGTTGAGTTAGCTATGTGAATAGGTCCAACGATTTCTGTGAAGTTCAACGCATCATAAGCTCCATATAAAACAGTGACATTGTTCATCATGGGCACATGGGGGCTGGCAGAGATGGCAGCCTTCTGGTAAAAGATGTTGGGCTCAGATGTCTTGCCATGGTAGGTATCTAGCCCAGTGTAGCTGATGTCCAAGTACTCCAGGAATGATAAAGATTCATTCATGTAAACTCGGTTATTGTTTAGAATCTGAAAGATATAAAAGTTTAAAAATATAGACCATACATCAACACAGAACAAAACTAATAACAATATGCATAAGCTAATGTTTTTATTTTTTATGAATTTAAAAAAAAATGGATATAGTATTAATTACAATAAGTAATAATGGGTGTACTTATGTTAAGTAGAAATGTTTAACTAAATTAAATCACAAGGATATTATATTTAAAAAATTAACTTTAATATTTAAAATAATTTTTTACTTTAGTAACATTTCAAAATGTTTAATAATGAACTGTGTAGCTGTTGTCGTTTTCATTTAGAGACTGAGACTTTTAAACTGCTTATAGAAATCTGAAATGCTAGTGACTATTTTCCACAAAAATAATCTAATTAATTGTAAACAGATAGTTTTGTCCTAACAACACATTCAGTTATTTAATTCTTACAACAATCAGCATACCTGATATTTTGCCTCTGTACTGGAATTGTAAAAATCAATACTTCTCCAGTGATCCAAGGCCAAACCTGGTCTCAAACCTTCACATTCAAATCCAACAACTTCCTGGCCATCTGTAAAAATATTTCCCATGGTGATATGCTGCTATTATTTTGTATGTAACATATTTATTATTTAAACCAAAGCGATTAAAAAAAATGTCGGAAAAAGTTAATGTGAAGTAAAAAAAGAGCTTGTAAATTCTATGTAAACTTACTATTTCACTATGTTAATAATTCTATGTGTTTATAATTAAGAAACAATATTTCTTACGTTCACATTGTCTTATTAATAAAATAGAGAAAAAGCTTATTTATAGGCCTTAATGTTATTTCAATTAAAGAAGTAAGAAATCAGTAAGGTATAGGTATCAAAATGAAATAAAGGTCACTGATTATTTACTTTTTTATGTTACCTTTCCAGTCAAATTTTGGCACCTTTGCCCATGAGAGTAAAATAAAATGACAGACAACTGGATGAGTACAAAAGTGTGAATCTACTCACCACAAATATGTCTACCAATCTGCATCTGCACAGCACCCGGGCAATCAAACAAGCTGTTTTCATCTCCCTTGCAATCAGGCTTTTCCCAAAGAATGTAGTCGGTTAAGTTCCGTGCAAACGAATGATAGGTAAAGTTACCTTTTAGAAAACCTAAATGCCGGCAGGTCACATTGGCGTCTATGAGAGTGAAGCTGAAAATTTGTTTAAAAGGCACTTTAGTCCATCTTATAAAAAAATTCAGATTTAAAAGTAAAATTATTTATAATATTTATGAATTTGTAAAATGCTACAATCTATCAAGATTACTAATTTTTTTCTAAAACCTATGCTTTTATTTTTTAAGATGTACAATTTTTTAAAAATTTATCAATACACAAGTGAAGTATATGTAGAATAATTTAAGTTACATTTTATTAAAGTTACATTATCAATGTAACAAATACATACTTGTTATAATTAGTGCAAATGGCCCTCCATTTGTATTTAAACTTTAATTCCAAGCGGCCATCTTTCGTGGTGTTGCCCATAGTTAACCTAGCATCATCTTGCCAGTTACCACTGGGGCGTCCAAGATCCTGCCCTTCAGCCTTGGTCATGACAATTCGCCCACCTGGATCTGTGCTGCCCTATTATAGCAAACCAAAGATTTTATTTATTTTATTTTACCAAACAACTTGATTTAGGCCTATAAGTAGTTAAATCTATTCGAAACTGCATAGATAAATCTTTTTCATTAACAAATAGCAGCCTATAATATTTACTGTTAATTTTTTCAAAGCACAATGCAGCAATGAACTCTTCTGAAAATAGGGGTTGTGTTGACTTTAACACAGTAAAATTAAATATCATGGTAAGTGATAATGCTGGCATAATTAGACTTGCAACACCCCTACTTATTAAATGAGTTCAATACTAATTTGTGCTTAAAAATATCCTCCATTTCATAAACCTACCCTAGCAATCAGAGTGCCATTGACTATCATTCCCATGCCTGGAGCAAACTTCAAAATACACCCTGGCTCGATGTACAGACAACCAGATGGTGCTATCTCAATATTTCCTCTAATGATGTGTGGGTTGTCCTTCTTGACGAGGGCCCTGTTGTCAACTATAACACCCCCACCATTAAACCTGTCGATGATGGGTGGTTGGCACCGTTTAGGTATGTGATTGAGGTACCAAATTCTGTTATCGGATATTACAGGCCTGTCTCCAATTGGAGGAGGTGGGGTAATCTGACCCATAACAGGCATCCACAAGGTTATAAAAAGCAAAAGAAAGCACTCAAAATGTTTAAATTTGGAGATCTTCATTTTTTTCTTGATTTTTCAAGACTTTCAACTCTGAAAAAAAAATAAAGTTATAGTTAATTGTTGTTTATATGCTAAAGTATCAAGTATTAATTAAAGTAAGCTTTCATCACTGTGCATAGTTTTTTTTTTGTTTTACTGTATAATAATATTTGTATCTATATTAAAATATATTTGGCTACAACAGTATCATTATACTATTATAGGCTATATAAATATAAGAGTAAAAAATAGTAGGCCTATACTAATTATAGGGCCTACTATAGAGCAATTTCTTCCTGGCATCTCTTGGGGGGGGGGGGGGGGACACAACACGACTAAAGTTTATGCTGCACCCCCCCCCAAGAGATGCCAGGATGAAACTGCTCTATACTCTATAGTAATAGTAGGCTTGTCGGTATTGGCCGAGATCGCGGTAAAAACATGACCCGAAATCTCCCATTACTTTCTGATACCGGGCGCACGAGATTTAGTTTTGCATACTAATAAGTTTTTAATTTATGGTAATTAATTAAGTTTAAAAGGTCATTTCCTAATGTTAAATGAAAAGTAGAATGGTTTTCCAGTTGTTTTGATGGCTTAGCGATCTGATTGCATGCTGTCTCTGCTTTGGTCTTACCGCGGTATAAAGGTTAACTTCAAATGCTTTAAAAGCGCGATTTTTGAAAAGTTTCCATTTAGATAATGAAAGTTTCCAAAGCATATACATCCCATTTTTATAGAAATGATATTTATTTTTGGATATTTTGACTTTGACATTAGTAAATACTCATTTGAAAGTAGTCACAGTAAGTAGGTCACGTTGCCCCCATTGACTCCAATGTTATATTTCTTCATCCCGATCTGCCGGCTTTTAGTTTTGATACACTAACAACAGTATTCTTAATGTACAAACAAATCTCCTACTTGTTGTTTTAAACATATTTTAATATAGATCTACCTGTCTTTCATTTTTTCAACTCTGGTTCTAGTTTTGCTTGAAGTAAAATTTTGCTGAGTCAGACATAGGTTACCTGTCTGTTGCTAGAATACACTACACTAGCTATGTGCTAACTGTAATTTTAAGTATTCAAGTTCTACTTACCCTTACTTAGTTATATTTATATGCTGAAAATCAGAATTCATACACAATACACACATAAAAACATTGATCAGATAACTTCAGTTCACTTTTAACAAAATGGCTTAAAGATAGACTCTACTTCACCTGCCCAAAATAATAAGGCAATTATATGCACATTACAGTGTTCAAGTCATTTACTTTAGATTGCTAACTATGTAGTTCTTTCATTCACTGTATTTATATAAAGCATTGCTTTAGAAACTTTTTCATATTTGCGCAGCACAGTTTTATAACAAAATGTCTTAAAGATGGACTCTACTTCACCTGCCCAAAATAATGGGGCAGTTATATGCACATTTCAGTGTTCAAGTCATTTACTTTAGATTGCTAACTTTGTAGTTCTTTCATTCACTGTAAAACATTGCTTTAGAAACATTTTCATATTTGCGCAGCACAGTTTTTTTGGGGTTATGGAAGGAAGCCAACACAAAAATATACTTCTGTATTATTTTTATTTATTTTTACAGCATATACAAGATCTATATATCATTCTAGCTCAACTCTGCAAATATGAACAAAATACAACTGCAAGTAAAATAACTATGCTCAATTTATTCAGGTATACCATGACTTGTCACAATTGGCCAATGCAAAAGCAAGGGCATTCCACCCCTCACAAAAAAATTCGCTAAAAAAAACTATTTGAGCTAGACAGAAAATCTTTTTTGTTTTGTTTTCATATAGTTGAGCTCTACAAGAATATGTAATTTTTATTTTTATATGATGATTAGTGTTTTTTTACCAAAATCCCTAGTAATAGTATATTTAATACAGGCCTACTATTTTTTTTGTGTCCCCCCCCCCCCTCCCTAAGAGGAAAAAATTCTGGAAGAAACACTGATATTGAGGCTATTATAATAATAACTAATATCTGACTATAGGCTAGTTACTAGTAGTGTGTGTAGGATCCCTAATTCACTCAACTGGGTATTGATTGAGTATTGAGAAAATAATCAAAATAAAAATGAACTCAGAACTGACTTGCAGAAATTAAAAATTTTTTTTTCCTCACCTGTGATATAAATACCTGTACGAAGGTGCACATATTTTACAGTGGCGACAGTGAAGTGTCAAACAGAAATACTAGGTTAGGTTACTTCTCAATGGGCAGAGCACACAGTGAAATGGTAGTGCAACTCCTCTAATCTTGGCAGTGACGAGTGTGGAACTTGTCACAAAGGTAAGTTTTCAAGTAAAAACAAATGGCTCCACTTTAAGTAACTTGGGTACCCATAATTGTATGCTCACATTAACAACGTTACGACTATTTATTTAAAGGAATGCTAATCAAATCTGATAAAGCAATCAATAAAATGATTAATTTAAGAAAATAAACTGTATTTTTGTTGTCTTCCGGGTGCCCTGTTGTGTGTAAGCGGAACACAACCAGGTGCCATCGACTAGTCTCGTTTGGTTTTTGAAATCTCGTCAACTGTCGCACAGGTAAAAATGGGTCATATGACTAAAAATAGCTTGTCACGCAGTTATTTGAAAAAAATAAAGCGTTAACCAATCCTGTCCTAATAGAAATAAGTAATCTCCCCCAGTAGCGTCACAAGGCCCGAGCAGGGGTAGTACCACACCGGGTGACATTACCATAGGCTACCTGTTTTATAAGAAATCATTTTTGTAGGCCTAATATATTGCTAGCACTCCTCCATAATACTATACCGGCAAGCAATGTTTCTTTCCGAATTTTCCTCCATTGGGGGGGGGGGGGGGGGGGGGTGGGAGAATTCCGAGGTTTGGGCGGACACAGGTAAAAGTATATATTTTCTATATAACCCCCCCCCCCCCCCACAAAGAGAGGCCCGTGAGAAACTGTGCCGGCGGCAAGGTAGGTCGAGAAAAGGATCATGAAGTGTGGGCAACCCACTATCTCTTCATTGCAAGCATAGGTACGTGCCTCAAAGAGGAATCTCTGGCATATTCTGGGCGTGTATCATTTGTCTCACGAGATATAATGGGCCATATATATGGGGTCTGCATTATATGCCTATGATATATATATATGTATATATATATATATATATATATATATATAGGTATTTGAAAATTTGTCGAATAAGGTTCAACCCCTACTTATATAAGACCAATATTTCACAAATACTGGACCTATGATAGAAAGTGAAATTTTTCTGATACTATTGTTGCCAACATAATGGAACAGATGGTGATAAGACAATGAGATTGAGAGTTGATTTCATATGGCTCAAAGGTACATAATGACTTAAAGTGGGTTGTTCAAGACCAGGTATCACTTTATCTGTCTTATAGAATGTAGTAGAAATGTAGATAATAAAAAATTTTAAAATGTGTTTTTTAAAAATGCATAATACAAATTAAAATTCAGTATAGAAAATTTAAAGTGATGTCATTTATGGATCTCTTATCCATTGTGTTCCACAGGATTTCTTTACTCAAATAAAATAATTTCAATTAGAAAATATATAATTTTATAAACTAGTTTAAGTAGGGCAAAAGTAAAAATGTATACAAATGACAAATTTAAATGCTTGTATCCAATCAGGCAAGTCCTCCTACTTGATAGAGTCAAAGAACAAAAGGCAATCAAGTGGATTTTTGTTTATTTTGAAGCATTTTGTTTTACATGTGGCCTTAAGAAAAACTGTCTATACACTTTCACCAATATAAGCTCTTTGCAAACTTTTTATACTTAATGTGATAAGTAAAAGCTTTTAGATGACAATTCACTTTTAAAAATCTTGAGAAATCTAAGCAAGTTATAAGTTAATAATTATTTAAACAGAAAACCATTAAAATCTGTAAGAAAGAGTAATTAAAAGTTATGTTTTTAGAAAAGACAAGTTTTATTTAACCACAACCAGTTCCTAACACATAAAAAACTGAATTGTTTAGTTTTTTATGTTAAAATAATGTCAATACAAAAATATAAAAACATAAGAATTTAATAACTATTTTTTTATAATATATAAATCAATAATGATTTATACAAAGACAAAAACATCAGAAAAAAAACAAAACAAATCAAACCTGAGCTGAATCCAGTTTCATTTATAAACATAAAACCTAATCCATTGAAATGTTTGATAGTTCTTAACCTAAAACTGATACAACATTAATAATAATCCTACTGGTAATACACTGCCATTTGCAATGGATACAAAAACAATTTTTTATACATACAGCACAACATGCAAAATTTAAATAATATTCCATTAATTTAAAGCTAAAATAAAATAGAAAGATATCCTTTGACAAACATTTTACTGGTAAGGAAGCATTATGTTGAATACTACAACTGCAACAAGACACGTCTCCTCTTTGCAATCAAGAGTATTGTCTTAATTATGCATAGACAAATTTTTAAAATAGTTTTTTTACACAGAATTTTTTTTCTTTATCATTAGACGTAGTTTCCACAAGAAACAAAACAAAAATTCTGAATTAAAACAGAGCAATAACGTGCAACTTTCAGCAGACTAGGGCCCCAAATGGTTGGTTTGAATAATTTAGTAGCTAAATCTGGACTCTGGGTTGTATCCTAACTTGTCCAGGCTTGGAATGCAAGCAAAGTTAATCATTGGGGGAGGTCCACACATTAGGACCACAGTGTCTGGTCCGGGGGGAGGCAGGTGTTGGCTGATCATCTCATCATTCACAAAGCCAGAGCTGTACTTCCAGCCTGTATGGATGGATAGGAAGATTCACCTTTTACTTTTTAATAAAATTCTAATTATTATTCAAGCAATTATTGGCATACAGGATTCAAAGTAACTAATAAATTTGACCATGCACATTTTTTATTTTGCAAAAATAGTATGTGACCATTGACAATTATAAAACAAAACTAAAGTGTAATTCATTTTTTTAGTGCAAAAATATGTCAACATTTCAAATTATAAAAATACAAAAAGTTTAATACATTAGCTTTAAAAGTAAATGACACATTATTTCACACACATATTGCCAATTCTTTGTAGTTGTAAAGAATTCCACTTTCACATTATCTACTTCCATAATAATAAACAAAAGCTATTTTTATAAATCCCCAAAGGTAACTTGAATTCAGTGGCGAAGCCAGGGTCGTCTCAAGGGGGGGGGGGGGGGTGGGGGTGTGTGTGTGTGTGTGTGTGTGTGTGTGTGTGTGGGGGGGGGGGGGGTGTTGTTCCAATTTTTACCCGGGGACAAACTTTCAATTTGCACCCCCCCCCCAGACTTTTGATTTACATCCCCCTCATATTTTATATATATCGAGGGGTCTATGGGGGGGGGGGGGTGTATGACCCCCCTGCCTACACCACTGCTTGAATTCACACATTTCTAAACTGTCCAGAGCATGTGTCTGACTGAACACATCAGTAAACATTAAATGTCAAGTACCTGCTTCAGGTCTGTCCAAGGTATACCACAGGTGGAAACGATTGGGATGCTCGTTTTGGATCTCATCCAGCTCAGGACGTAACAAAATATCTTTCTCTGTCTGTAAACAAACAATTGTACTACAATAATAAGCTAAAACTGCAAATAAACAATTGTAAGACAATAATGAGCTAAAACTGTAAATAAAAAATGGTACTACAATAATCCGCAATAAACTGTAAATAAACTATTCTACCACAATAATGAGCTAAAACACAAAATGTTATTTTTAAAAATTAAACCTATTTACTATTTCATTTTCTTTCCTAATTAGGAATTATATTTTGCACAACATTAACATTTTTAGAAACAAATCTTTTTAAGTTTTCCCCCCTCAAATAACCATACATTTTATAAAGTGGATTTCATTGCATTACCATTTTGCAAGGTTTCATTTAATGATTAAACAAAAAATTATATTAATTATATGTAGGCTATTTAGCATTCAGTTCAACATCTTTGAATGATGAGACTTACCTGATTAGCAAAGATGAGCCACAGGTCAGTTTTGTCTTCAGGATCCTTAAACACCTGTCTAACAAGCTGCAGCATTGGAGTGATACCTGAACAAAATTTAAATCTCACATTTCAATCAAAGCTTACTGGAGTAGGGGAGTAGGCCCTATAATGGAAGTGGGCATGCTAAAAAATAACAAATGCCAACATCTAAATAAACATAAAGTAACAATTTAAACTTCACTTATCAATCAAAGCTTACAGGAGTAGGCCCTATAATGGAAGTGGGCTTGCTAAAAAAATTGAAGCCAACATGAGTATTAACAAAATTAAATCAAATAATGCAGAATAAAGGCAGAATAAAATTACCAGTTCCTCCAGCAATCATTCCAACTTTCTTGGCTGTTTTTGTTTGTGGTTCAGCTTTCTTGTCTGGTCTAATCTTGAAGTTACCTGTTGACAATTCATAACAAACTGTTAACATGTTCACAACATAATATTTCATTTTTAACTTCCACTGCTAAAGAGCTACTGAACAAGGTTATATACTAGATTGTGTATTGATTTTCTGAATCCTAGTGTTAATAAATAGAGTAACTACATATGAGGTAAATATAATACATTGCTTAATGATAGTTTCCTATGAAGTTAGCTGCGAGCCAGTGGGTAAGGTGGGGATTGTCTAACAATGAAATAGTAAACGATGAAGATAAGGCCAGTAGTTCATATTTTTTTAATCACTGGTTCCCTTTCCTAACATTGGCAAGACATATGTATAAAAAATCAGTCTAAAAATAGCAAGTTATTTACCCTATCTTATTTATATCCTACAAAATTATTACTCATTCCCCTTATGCTGGTGAAATTTTGTGAACTATTAGTTTACAAAGCCTAACATACCCAAATACAGAAACAAGGTATAATCTGACAGCTAGCTAATACATTAACTTAGACCAAGGGTAACTATTTTACTTCTGTTTACAAATAATTTACAGATACTGTTAACCATAACTGTCACAATAAGATTCATGACATCCTATGAGGTAGTAGAACATAAAAAAATATGTAGGCTATATCTTTAAAAAAAATGATTATGTAAAACATTATGTACTGGTTATGTGTAAACTAGTATCTCACCGCTACCTATTTTAACTTCTGTTTACAAACAATTGGTTTATTTTATATAATTGTCACAATCAGAATTATGACATCCTAGCAAATTTATATGTGGTAGTTGAGCATAAAAAAATGATTCTGTAAAATGTAATGTACTGGTTATGTGTAAACTAGTACCTCACCTCTACCTACATACTGCAGGAGACCATTGGGTCCCCTAACATCTATGTAGTCACCAATGTCCATGTTCTCAAGATACTGAGACATTTTCCCACCTTCTGGGAATTTAGGATGTACATTCTTGAAGTACACCTGTAGAAAAATAATAATTGCAGGAACTATTCAAAATAAATATACATGTGATCAGCACTTTTTTTTAAACCCCTAAGACTCGACAAAATGATTTTGCTTTAATTTTATTTGCCAGTAAATAATTGAAAGTGCAGATTGATGTTCGGAGTGATAAAATCAATCTGACTTGCATCCTAAATGTTTGTCTTAGTGGGAAGGAGTGGTCAACACAAAGCAACTGAAATTTTGGAGTTTGGTTCAGTTTCAATTTGGATTTACATACTTCAGTTCACATGGGTACTTAATGCGAGTCGAAGAAAGTAAAATCAGCTGGGCACGAAGCTGACCACACTATCCCCTCAAAGGCAACGGTCAGAGAAACAGTTGAAATCTAATTCATCTGCCCCAAGGATATTCAGTCTGAAAGTACTTTACCTTTTTGTTTGATTTTAATTAAAAAGAATAATTTCCATGCAATATTTTTGTAAAGACAGCAACTAAAAAAAAAGACGAGTGATCACCTTTACAACAAGATCCATGAACCCTTTATCATCATCACTGGATACAGGTGTGTAAGGACGGATAACAAGCTGCCCATCAATACGAGCAGTCAGGTAAATGTGTTGGCCTGGTACAGAAAAATATATTTTAGAAAATTCATGCTTAATTAATTATACACAAACTATTATAACATTGAATAAACGATATGCTAAGCATATCATATACTAAATATATCATACATTAAATAAAGTATAGGCCAAATTAACTTTTCATTAATTAATTAAAATAAATCTTACCAACTGGGAGACCAAGTATGTGGTCTGGTGTAGGAAGAGCAAATCTGAATTTACGTGTGTCATGGCTAATGTTCTGTTGGGAAAAGGGATTTCTTAATTACAATACAACAATTATCAGACAGAAAATATTTTTAAAATATTTAATGTTTTAAATAATTCATTTTTTCTAGACAATTTTTAATTTTAACACTTACTATTGTGTATTAGCCTGATTTATTTTTCAGATCAGGTTTACTTACCTCTTTGTCAACTAATTTCAAAGGATATTTTAGTGTGGGATCCTTTAAAGTAATAGGTGGGCCCTTTTTTTTGGAACCAAAAAGTCCAGGTAAAAATATTTTGGCTAATATTGCTGTCACAGCTACAACACCAACTCCAACCAAAACTGGAACAGTCTGAAACACAGTGAGAACAACAGATGTTATGGTAATTCAGGTGTCTATAAATTGAATATTAAGCAAAAATATAGATCTTGCTAAACAACTCCAAAATATCATACACAGATAGAAGGTGGTATGGTATGGCATAGCTTATGAGATATGACAAATACCACACTAGACTTAATATTGGCAATACCCATACCAAATAAAACTTAACTAAGTCCTAAACTTAAGCCTAAGAAGAAATCAGTTGTCATTTACATAAGCATAAGAAAAAAAAGGAAATTTTTAAGTGGATTTGTTATATGTAATAAAGGGACAAAAAGGTTGGCAACTAGTAGTCTAGCATTAGAGGACACTGCTAAAAAACAACCTAAAACAAAAGGATGATGTAAGGTACAGTTGAGTAAGTATTGTTAGTTTAATCAGCGATATAAAACCAACTCTGTGGTGCTCTTAAACATTTTAGATTTAATTTATAGCAAACACATAAATGAGATAAGAGAAAGAAGTCCAATATGGTATGGACCTATTAATTAACTTACTAAATTTGTGTACTTGTTTTGTTAAGTACTTAACTACAAGACATCATTTTTTAAAATTATTTTTTATGATTATTAAATTATATTTTCTTCACAATGGTGAAATAAAAAAAATCAGTTTTTAAAGTATGTGTAAGCAGCTGTAATATAGCCCATGCTGTGTCAACAACTTTTATCCTTTATTTACTTCTACAACACAATCAAACAAATCATGCAAGTAAACTGAGCCCAGCTGATAGCCAATGACTCATGCAACAAGTATTTTGTACTTGAGGCAGCTGGCATGTTCATTCATCAATTCTGTTTAGGGGCATGTCATGAGTTGCAACTACTGCACACATGCAAGCTGTTTTAGATTAAATTAACCTAAATCTTCTAGGTTGGTAAATGTGTTCGCATTTTTAGGGAAATATGTGTTACAGCTATTGCACACATGCAAGCTGTTTTAGATTAAATTAACCAAAATCTCCTAGGTTGGTAAAATGTGTAGGCAAACATGAGTTTCCATGCACATAAGTAGTTTAACATTACATTATATACATAAGCCTAAATCTTTTAGGGTGGTAAAATGTGTAGACTGGAGAGAAAAAGCTATAAACAGCTCAAATACTACAATGCACATTAAAATGGTTAAAACTAATACAGAAACAAGTGTCAACTGAACTATTCCTATTTCACTTTTTTAGTGGATAATTGAAAAAAAAAACAGTATAATGGGACATTTCTTATTATGGGTTCCAAAAGGCAGTCTTAATTAAACTTTTATAATGGACTTAGAGAAAAATGGGATGAGGGGTGATTACGTCGCTAGCAAATGGCTAACCTATTATTTATTAATCACAATACACATTTCTTTTAATACAACATACTCCTTTACAAATCAAGATGCAAATAGAAATTTTGAACTTGTGGGGGTGTGTGTGTGTGAGGAAAGGGAGAATGGGGTGTGTGATAAGGTGGTTTTTCCTTAACATGTATGTAATAAAAATAAGGGATTTGTAGGGTGAGTGGAAATATATAGGCTAATTATATAGATCTATGGATGATTATAGATACTAGTGTCCGATGATGGAATCTTCTTTAAAAAGGGGTGTTGGGTTGTTAGTAGTATTCTAATCTCGACTAATTTTATGGTTAGAAATTAGGGTTAGGCGTATGGGTAGGCAGTGACGTAGGCAGGGGGGGTTATGACCCCCCTACCCCCCCCATAGACCCCTCGGTATATATATAAAAAGTATGAGGGGGGTGCAAATCGAAAGTTTGTCCCCGGGTAAAAATTGGAACCCCCCTTGAGACGATCCTGGCTACGCCACTGATGGTAGGACTAGGGTTGGGGTTAGGGACAGGGTTAGCATTGACATTAGCCAGCCATGTGTGCATTTAGTTAACTACCAGTAACCTAACACCCCTTTTTTAAAGAAGATTCCATTATCATTCTCTCGATCTATGTTCATTCTATTCAATTATTCACATGAATACTATTAATATTAGTGTCACTTATCTACTAGAACTAGACCTAAGTTTACAAAGGAATAGGTAGAATCTATAAGCACTGAAGCAGTATTAGTATTACTATTACTATTACAGTAATACTTAAATTTTGACTAGATCTAGTTTAGTTTTAGTGTGAATTCACATGATACTAGTCTAGTAGACCTACTAACTAAACCTATTGCAATTTCTGTTGTTATAAACTTATAAAGCGGCACAATTGATTTACGTTAGTGTTAAGTCTAGCGTCTTTGTTGTGATTACAACTACGAATCTTCCAAGTAGAAATGCATGTTTATGACACACCCAGTAAAAGACGAGTTGCGAACGAGCCAGTCAACACCTGAGTATCACTAGATCTATCTACCACATCGCAATCAAAACAAAGCTCAACATTCAACATACAACACAATTCACAATGTTCTGAAAAGATTTAGCAAAAAAATATTAAAATTGCCGTACTACTCTTACTACTGTGCTATAGCCGGAAAGCATGTTTATAAAATTATAAGCAACGTCCTTGACTAGACCAGGTGAAAAACAGCAGCCGGCTGCTGGCGAGAGAAATATTTCCAACGCGAGACCGAGTGTGTAGTGCAGGCGAAGTGTGTTGAACACAGTCGAGGGAACGTACTGTAAAGTTGGATTGGATGTCAAAATGTAATGTACTGGTTTGAAAAAAAAATTTATTTCAACATGCATTGCTGGATCCATTATTACTGTTATTACGAGCCTACATTTCTATAAAATATCTGCAGCCACCAAAAATGCCGGCCAGTTATTTTGATTAGCGCTTTGATGTTTACAAAAGTATCGCCTCGTCAAACCTAAGTAGATAATCTACTATATACTTGACCACCCAGTCTACAAAAACAGCCATACCGATAGAGAGAAAAGTACTCGATACGACCGTGATGTGTTTACCCGTGATCGGGGGGGGGGGGGGGGGTAGACTTTCTTCGGGGGGTGCCCTTCCCCCCCCCCCCTCCCCCCCCTCCCGAGATGCCTGGATGAAACTCTGCCCGTGATATTTTTATTTATTTCATAAAATCTAAAATGTAGACAGTTTCTTCCAGACATCTCTTCGGGTCTACCGCCCCCCCCCCTGAACGAGATGGATTTTATATAGTAAACATACACTTTTACTAGTGCTCCCCCCCCCGGAGAAAAAAGTCTGGAAGAAACACTGGATGTAGAATTAAGCATAAGGGGGTCGTTCATAAATGACATCACATTCGTAGGTGGGGGTCCGTAATTTTGTGACGGTGTGTGATGTGAGGGAGTGGTTCCGATGGTTGACGTCACACTTTTGAGTTATAAAAAATCAATGTTAGAAAACGAGATTTAGCAATTGTTTCGCGTTATAGAAAACGGTTTTAATAAATTGTAATAGGAATTTATTAAAATACTCTATGTTGAAAGAGTTTTTGGAAAAATATCGATGTTTTAAGAAAAATTCAACTGCAATTTTTGAGGGGGGGGGGGGGGGGTGTAGGCTGAGGTGTTACGTCATTTTAGGGGGAGGGGGTCTGGCTTTTTGTTACGATGAGTGATGGAAAAGAGGGGGAGGTAAAAATCGTAAAAAAAAAAGCGTGACGTCATTTGACCCCTAAACTGATCGTTCATAAATGACGACACGCTTATATGGTGGGTGGTGGGCCGGATTCATGAAATAAATGCGGATGGGGGGTAGTGTGAATAGCATTGTGACGTCATGTTAAGTGTCCCTTCCACAACCGTCCGTCACAATGTGGGGGGAGGGGGTTTGCGCGGCAGGCGACACACCAAAATTTAAAATAAAGTTAATTTGAATGAGAAACCCAGTATTAGGGACAGGATGATACTGTTGATATCTTTGTGGGCTGGGATGACACCAAATGTTAACTGCCTATAATTTCTTCAGTAGATCCTATATCTATTAGATATCACCAGCAGAAGGGGACGCCACCCTGTGCCATCCGACCTAGTGACCCTACTGATCCGTGTACTGAGTATTCAATGTTCACCAAGCTCAGTTAATATTTTAGTTAAAAAATTACTGTTTAAAAAACATATAATTACAACTTCAGGGAAAGGAGGGGGGGGGGTGTATGGTGATTTGTGGTATTTAAGGAGGATGGGTGCCTGACTTTTTGCTACATTATGTGAAAATCAAGAACACAGCTTTATCACATACTCACATAGAGTATAAATGATGTCTCACACATACTTACATAGGACATAAATGAATTCTCACACAGGGTATAAACGATATCTCACATATACTTAATCAAGGTATTAATGATGTACAAAGGGTATAAATGATTCCTCATACATAAAAGGATATAGTTGATGCTCACATATACTCTGATACAGGTTATGACTTTGGTTTTATGCACATATGGAAGGGGTTGAGGACATTTGAAGTAGTACACACTTTATTTTTATCAAAAACATGTTAGGTTTATTAAATATTATTTATCAAGTGGGAGGCAGGGAGACGACACACAGAACTTTGTAACATTATCTTTAGATATCAAAACACAGAAAGAGTCATGCTTAAAAAGTTTGTCTTATGCATTGCTATTAGCTTTGAATACCAATTGTTGTAATTGATATGGTGAAAAACCTGACTGAAGATTCATTCATTATAAATTTAGTACAAGTGACTGTACACCCTTAATCAACAATCTGGAGTGTTTGATTTTTAGCAACGATGTATGCTAAAACGGCTGAGGTGTTAACATACAGATGAGGTGTTAACACAGAGCGGTGTCACGTTTGCATTTTAAAAATGAACTTTTGCATGAATCCAGTTTTTTAAATATTTATTTTATACGAACTGTAATAAAAAAATTTACTCAGCTCTGTAAAAAAAAAACAACTGCTGTCTCAATAAAACAAAGAAAAACTGCATGGGGGGGGGGGGGGGGGTGTAAAGAAAGGAAGCTAAAGTGTGACATCCTTTGGAAATTTTATTTTTGGGGGACAGGTGAGAGTCATTTCATGGCATGTGAAGAATGAGTGTGAAAAAAAAAACATTTATGGCAGACCACTAAGAATAGAATGAGTTATTTTGGGGGGAAAACTATGTTTTCTACACTCTTAATTAGAATGATTCTCATTATTATTACTAATAAATTATGATTTATTACTGTAATTAATATTATTGTCAATTTACAGTGTATACTCAAGTATATCTATATTCAACTATGGATTCCCTTCTGCACTGCTGATTACAAGCTGTACAAGTAACATCCTGTCCCTTGGGTCCATCAGCAGTGTGAAGAGAGGGGTCTGTTACATGGCCAACAGCTGGCTCTTCTCATCTTACCACCCAGCCTTTGTGCTTTTTATATTATTGTTTTAAGTTTATATTTAACTCAATGCAACAAGCCTGCCAGTTGGTTGAGGCCAGGCTGGGGGCTTGCAGAGGCGTAGCAGGAGGGGGGGGGAGCATGTCCCCAGGCGCCGACCTTAGGGGGCGACAAAATGAGTTTTAAAAACAAATTCAAATGTCTTTTTGGCTGCATTTTTGCAGTTTGAGGGGGGTGCAAATAAAAAAGTTGAGGGGGGGTGCAAATTGAAAATTTGCTCCCGATGGGGGCACCGGGAAGGGTCGCTACGCCTTTGGGGGCTTGTTCTTCTAGGGCTGCTAATGCTACTGTAGTACTATCATACTAGATTTGGTAAAATCTTAGTTTAGCGTCGTAAATTCGGCCAAAACTAGTAATGTAGGAGAGAGTGAATTAATGAATATGTCATTAAATATGAGTATATTTTCGTATATTTTGATAAAATATTATAAATAATTGAATAATAGATCACCATTTATGGTTAAATCAATTTAAATATCCTGAAATTAATTTTTATCAACCCTGTTCGAGATAGTAAATTTGCTATTAAAAACAGCAGCCATCTTAAGAAATTGTTATTTAGAGTAGCTCCCCTTTTATTTCTATTCGTATGAAAATGTATTTAAATATGATTGTCTTGTTGTATAGTCCGTATTACAAAGCATTTTTTTTTTAAGTCTGCTCTTTAAAAACTTAATTTTCTAACAAACAACTTTATTAATTCTAGAAGCATTGTGAGATGCAACTTGTATTCATTTATTAAATCACGTTTTTTTTTTACTAATGTTAATTTGATCTTACTATTACTATATAGTTTGAGTTTTTTCTTATTGTTTGAATGTTCACTATTTTCATTTCAGGTTTTTCTTTTCATCAATTAGTAATTCTATCGTAACTTATGACATTTTTTGCTTCACTTTACCTTAATTAAACCCCAAACTCCGTCATATTTTTGTTGTCAATGTCACAAGTCATAATGTAAAAAATTACGCTTCACTCTGCCTTATCTAAGATCTCTAACCATAATTTTGACAACATTAAATGTTTGTCATCATTTATATATACAGAGAGACAAAATGTATTATCCACCAGCTTCCCTCGTAAAACATCATCTAAAACAATGAGCCAGTCCACCCCTTAAGTGCGTGTTGTCATTATGGTCGATCGCAAGTCTCCACCTGCCAGACACATGTTGGTTATCCTTTGTTGTCAAATTGTCAAAATCAAGTACACAAGTGAGTGATATGGGGTTGTCCATAAATGATGTCACATATGATTTGCTACGGGAGTGAGTGAAGATTTGTGACGTCAACTCAGGCGGCTTTGCAATTTATGATGTGTCAGTCTCATGAAAGTAGGTGAACGGGGAAAAATACCTAGGTGGTTGATGGAGAACCTCTAGAATGCTTTGTTCAATCAAAATAACGATAAATAAGCATTAGTATACGTATACCTTGCTTAAAACGAATTACCACAAATGTTGCAAGCCTGCTAGTTTAAGACATTCGGCAAAACGGCCGCAACACATTATCCCCGTCAAAAAGGCTTGCCACCAAATGCCTGCCGACGAATAAGCCGCGTCTAATGCGGGGCGTTAGGAATACGGCCATTAGCATGGGCCGTGTTAGAGCACCAGTAGGCTATCGCGCTTTGTAAGATGACGTAAATACTTAAATTCAATTTCGCTAAACTGCGCGAAAATTTAGTAATGTTCCATTGTTTGAGGACATTTATTTTCTTGCACTTAAATTGAAATATCATGTTGACTGTCTGGCTCTTAATTTCCGAATATCACTTTTAATGTATCAAGATTCAGAACTATAATTTACTTTAATATAAGTGTCATCTTATCGTTTATTGTGGTTTTTATAAAGCGCAGAGCAGCTACAAAATCGGGCGGCCATCCTGTTTTCACCTTCTTTTGGAGCTTAATATGGGTAGTCTAATTCTATACGGTGTGAGCTTAATACATTTTTAAAGGGCCGAAAGACTCAAGACAGCAAGCTTGCAGAAATAACTACGTACGTTTAAATGGACGAGTGATAGATGTGTTAGGGGCTGTTTAATGAACACCAACTTATGTAATCATATTAAACGTCGCAAAAGCGTCAAAAAGGCAGTGCTTGTTGTTTTTTTTCTATAAAATTAGCCTAACGGTCGGCAGTACCGCTACATGACGTCACGTGCGAGCGTTAACTCGGTGACGATCTGCTAAGTGGGGGAATGAAAAAGGTGGGGTTCAAGAAATTCGACTCGGCAAGCTTTTTACATTTCTTGACCCTTCTTAATAGTTCTTTCGTCCCCACTGAGAAAATGGATCACCAATGAATGACGCGTCATACTTCTACAGCTGGTCTTTCTCCCACAACCATCCCGTTTTCACGAAAAAAAAAACCTGACCCGTCTCCAAAATCACATCGCTGAGTTCTACTCAACCTCTCCCCACCACAAATCACAATTTCTATCTGAAACAATATGTTCATATGTTTGCTCTGTAATAATGCACGCTGTCATTACTATCTTAAGAGCGACGTCATTTATGAGCGATCTAATATTGATTTGCTTACTGCAAATAAAGTGTTCAAAAGTTCGACCTCCCAACAATTAAGTCTGATAAGGTCTATTAGTAATTCATGTCAACTATATTAAAAAAAAAGAAAAATTACTATACAGGGGGTCATCCATAAATGACGTCACGCTTTTTATGACGATTTTTACCTCCCCCCCCCCTCCCATCCGTCACAAAAAGCCAGACCCCCTCCCCTAAAATGACGTCACACCTCAGCCTACAACCCCCCTCAAAATTGCAGTTGAATTGTTTTTAAACAGCTTTATTTTTCCAAAATCTTGTCTGAACTCTGTCAAAATAGAGTATTTTAATCAATTGTTATCACAATGTATTAAAAGTTTTTTAAAACGCAAAATAACGTCTATAATTCGTTTTGTAACATTGCTTTTTTAAAATGCAAAAGTGTGACGTCGCACCATCTGAACCCCTCCCCCTCATCACACAACGTCACAAAATTACGGACCCCCCTCCCCCTACGAGTGTGACGTCATTTATGGACGACCCCCCCCCCCGGCATATATTAAAACAATACAAAACAATCATATTAAACCACAAAATCAACACAAAAGACATGCGAATAGACAATTTATTGTTTTTAAAACATGGCCGCTGCTTGTATTTACTCATTGTTGTCTCGAATGGGGTAGTTTAAAGTTTATTCCAGGATATTTAATTATTTATGACTGGTTTGGTCTTGGATTGTGATTTGTTATTCAATTATCTGTTATATTGTGTAAAATATGACATAAATATGGCCAAATGAAAGAAATATTCACTAGTTACCTTCATCGCACATTACTAGATCTAGCTACGTTGGAATTTACGACGCTAAACTAAGATTTTACCCTAGATTTATATTTATATTACTATGACCTAGATCTATGTCTATGATGCTAGGCCCTAGCAATTTTTTTTATTTTTTATCCTTCATCCCCTAGCAGCTAGGGATACAAAAACAAAGGGCGAAAGGGTCTATTCAAAATATCAACCTCGAAAATGATGAATGAATGAGTGAGAGTCGTTCTGTCGGCGAATACCGATCGGCGATCTGTCTAGATTTAAGTCTAGAATCTAGCTAGAACCTAAGAAAAAAGGTTTTCTTAAAAAAAAAAACTAGTTACCCGACTTAAATAATTGCAGATTTAAATCTAGCGAAAAAAAAAAAACAACAATCAAAATTGCTTACCAGTAAATCGCTTTTAGATTCTCCCATTCTAAAACTTCGTTGCACTCACTACAGACTGGGAGTACAGACACTATGGTAAAGCGACTCAAGCGTCTAAACGCCGAAGGCCACAATCATGCGATAAAATATTTATCACGTACGCCGCTTTCTATTGGTTTACAGGTCGTCCAACATTTAGTGTTGTGTTATCTATTTATACGTAGATTCTAGACTAGGTCTAGATTTCTAGATCTAGATCTGTAAAATGTAACTTATGTTTCTTTTGGCCATCATACACAAAACATGGGAGTATTTTTATTAGCAGTGCAACAATAAACTTTTTCTAGACCTAGGTGTGGACTGTTAGGCTGCATGGTAATACCCAAGGATTCTTTTGGACATTTTTCACATTTTTCTCTTTATAAATTCTTTTTCTTGGGGGGCAGAGTTTCTTCTACCCCCCCTTTCCGAACGAAATGGAATTTATATAGAAAATATATAACTTTTAACAGTGTCCGCCCCCCCCCCGAAAATTTCAAGTACCCCTCCCCCCGGAGAAAAAAGTCTGGAAGAAACACTGCTTGGGGAAGGATTGGGATCGCTTCGGGGCTGCCCCCCTTCCCTCGAAGAGATGGATGAAAGAAAATCTATTAACAGGTTTAGATTTAGGGTTAGATCTTTATGATCCAAAGACATGATTTGAGCAATTAGGGAGCATTCGATTTGGTCTATATAGATTAATAAATATAACTTTCTGATGTAAACGCTAAACCCACCATTGAAGGTTTCACAGTGGTTTTTTCTTTCTTGCTGCTGCATATAGAGTGAATTTTTACTGTTTAGAGTGGGTCACTGTTTTTTTTTAAAGTGAGCTACAGCGTGTTCAAAAGTAACTCACTGTTTCTTCAGTCCAGCTGTGTCCCTCTCAGTCTCAGGGGCATAGGCAGCTGGAGCGCTCCCTTCTGAGAAAATTTTCAGGACAGTGGCACCCTATTCCGACTAAACCTGTAATACAAGCTCCAACTATTTGTAAAGAAAAAAAAACAACCTCGCCATTTAGAAATTATGAACGTGAAACTGTCAAATATGTAGTAATTAAAAGTAATTATCAAAGTCTTATGACGCTACACACGTATTCGTCTTTGCATCATTGGCGTCAGATAAACTGTTTGTGTCAGCTTATGTGTTTCTTCTATCCTTTACCTACGAATTTCTATTTTGGACATAAAATAAAAATAGATTTTTTGAGTCATCATGATTCATAACATATTATATTAAGGTCTTCGAAGATTAATTAAACTTTTTTTTTTTTTTTTTGCAATCCGAGATAGATCTAGAATATACCGATTTCGGTATTTAGGAAATCCAGTTTTCTGAATTACTTCCTAAATAAAATAATTTTACAACGTTTCTTGGAGGACAAGATTGTGAAAACTTCTGTTGCTTTTTAAATTTCTAAATTCAATACAGATCTACAAGCATGAGGGAGTATCGAGACTATGGAAGCTCCATAATTCCTAAATTATTTCACATCTTTCATGGCGAGGTAACGACGAAACTAGAATTCAAGACTAGACTAGACCAGCCTCTACCAAAAAAAAAAAAAAAAATGGCTGACCGACGGTTCTTTTCATCTTAAATAAATATTAATAAAAATATAAAAAAATTGACTATAAAGTAGTAGCGACGTTCTAATCTCTTGAGACTGGTATAACACACAAACCGTCACCAATAAATTAGCCTACTAAACTAACTACTTACTACTAGATCTATTTGAGATTCTAGATAGAGATTCTAATTTTCTATGTCTAGAAATCTACTAATAAACTGCACGGTTGTGGAGTGTGGAGTCTTAGAGCAGACTAGACTAAGATTTCTAAGAATGTCTAACTCTAACACTAAGAATGACTAAGATTATCTTCTAATCTAGATAGATCTATCTAGATCTCTCTAGCTAGAATACTCTTGATCTAGGGACTAGTAATTCTAGTTGTAATGCAACATACTGAAAGTTTCAAGTTAGGTTTCATACCATTTCACCTCTTCTGACTTGTTGGGTGGCATCCTCATTTTTTTGGTAAAATAAACATGTGGTGAGATTGCAACCAAACAGCTGAGTTTTGATTTTAAAATGCATATGTTAAATGTTACTTCCAATTGTTTGGACCCTGTTAATCACCTTTTGAGGGTCGGCCTAGATTCTAAGATCTACTTCTGTAGATCCATAGCTTTCAATTGTTGTGTCCAGATTACAATTGAATATCATCTCTAGCAGCCACGTTATAAACTAATTTTTAGAGTTAAGATATAACTCTGAACTGGACTTAACACTACATTTTAGAACTTGATCCTAGTTTAGTTTTAGGTGCTAAATATTTACATAAAATTTATATGAAGGGAGGATACATTGAATATTGACAAGTAAAAGATTAGCCTAATTGTTGTGCTTTTTATATTTTAGCTGATGTTTGGATTCCCTTATGTCTTGCCGGGTTGGCGAAACTTTGTTTATTTTAGTGTTAATAGAGATATCTTTATTTTTAAGGATTCCAAGGAAGAGAAAGTCTGCTGCTGTTTAGGGGCCTCTTTCAGGGTGTGGCTTATTCCCCCATCATCTTGAAGTGTATTTTTTTTTCAACTACTTGTCACATCACACACTATAAATATTAACATTCTTTATTTTTCCCACGTTTTCTTTAACTTGCTTTCGTCTCTGTTTGTTTGTTTTTCCAATCAAATCTTGCGATCGAAATTTCTGGCACTTCCCAGTTAGCTAGCGCGCTGAAATTTTCAGGGAAGCTTTCTTTTGGATGACCATAGAATATTCAATTGTTATTATTACTAAATTGATCAATGGAAACATTTTATTGAGCATTTTAGACCGCTATATAATCTATATATATAATTCTCCTCTGCGAGCCATTAGAAAAAAACCCAGCGACGCGTAGCTAGCCTCTCTCTTGCCGCGCGCAGTGAAGCGAACGATCCCACGTCGCGAGAGGCTTAGGGGCAGATAATTTAGTTTTAACCGACTTTAAACTTACAGGAGGTAACTATTACCACTGGTGGCCAGTTTGGGGGAGACGATATGGTCGAGTGGTTGGGCACACGATTGCTATCCCACTCGACACGGGTTCAAATCTATGTGTTCTAGTCAGTAACGTATTCACACAACGTGTTTTTTACGAGTTGTCTTTTTACGAGTTGTCTTCGTTTACCCAAAAAAAAAAGTGAAAAGATAAAATCGATAGCAAGAGTTCAATGCAAACAAACAGACAAAGACTAAAAAGTAGAAAATAATAATCATTAAAAAAGTTTAAAAAAACCCACATTTTCAAAAACGTGGGGCGCCGTGGTTTTCTTACAGTTTCTAATACTGTTGACTCTCTACAAGCTCCCTAATAAAAGTCAATAGTATTATCTAATCAATAGTAATATAACTTTTACTTCGGCGCCCCACGTTTTTCATCGCTTATAGTAGAGTGATCGCTTGCATTATTGTGATGTATAACATTTATTTTCTACTTTTTAGTTCAATCAGAAAACGTGGGTTTTTAAAAACTTTTTTAATGATTATTATTAAATCTTGTAAGTATACAGATATCAGAATTTTTTAGCCTTCATCCCCTATTTTTCAAAATGTGACCATGTGTACTAATGGATGTAGACTCTCAATGCAGCTTTATATTTTATAGGAAATACTTTTGAAATGATAGTATTGTTATTTTTTTCTCTAAAAGTGATGTACTTACAGAGTTATTGTAACCTATATGTTTGTTTTTTGTTTAGGTTGCCAGCTTGCAATCTTATGGCGCATTTGTTAAAATCCCAGGATGCAGAAAGCAAGGTTAGTGATGTGAATTATGCATACATCAAAAAAAAATCTTTTTTTTCTTTTTACAACAAGTTTGTAATAACAAAATTTGTAAGAAAATTCTTAAATGTTACTAAATAATTGCTGGATGCTATTATTTTCATTATTGTGTTTAAATATTCCATTTCAAAAAGAATTAAAGTCCTTAATCCACTGAAACTTAGATTACCTAATTTTCTCAAAACCTAAAATATGTAAAGCTAATTGCCTAAGTTGTATATTTATTTTGGGGTAAGTGTGGCACAATGTTAGTTCGTTATAAGATTTTGATAAGAGGAAATTAGTAGTGAAAGAGTGTAGTAGTATGTATTTTATATTTTAGGGCTTGTTCACAAGAGTCAGATGTCCAATGGCAGAGTTGATGACCCATCTGACATGGTCACCAAAGGTGATATGGTTTACTGCAAGGTTATTTCTATGGAGGTAAGATTTTTGTGTTAACATTTGTTAAAAAAGAATCCCATCTTAATGTATCTATCTGTTATGCTTACTTGTTTTGTATAAAATTCTTGGCATGTATGTGAAACTATATTTTTAAAATAACATAATATAATTACTTGCAGTAATAAAGGTGAAGGTAGGTGTCTACAGAAAGGTAAATAACACTGTTTAAAATGTTTTTCATAGGGTGATGGAGAAAAAATATCATTGTCCATGAAAGTTGTGAATCAGTCTACTGGGAAAGACCTGGATCCAAATAATGTTCAATCCAAGTAAAATATTCAGCTTTAACTGCTGTTAATCATTCACTTATTTCCTGTTTTTTGTTTAATTCATTAATAATTTCACAATTGCTAAGTATCTCCAGTTTCTTGAAAAATTAATCATTTAACAGTCAGGATGAGAAAAAGCGGCGATCTTGGAATAATAGAGGTCGTAGTAGAATCGACCTTGGTGCAGAATTGAACACAACGTGCCGGCGATGTGGAATGCGAGGTAAGTGCGCCTTAGTTGTTTTCTTAGTTATACAAAGTTTAACAATATTACATAAATATTTTAACAAGTTAAATACTGGTACTGGTATATTGAATTAATTAAGAGTAAAGATTACTTTAGGTATAGCTTTTTTTTCATCTTGTGCAGCAATGCTCCAAAACGGACCAGAGAGTTTGATTATTTATACACTTATTCTAACACCTGCAAGAAATGAGATTTCCCAAGATCACCTTTACAATTTTTCTGATGCCCAGATTTTTTCCTTTGGTGTGATGAATTTGAATAATTTTACAAGAGCCAGATCTACACATTGCAAAGAAGATTTTCATTTTTACAAATCTGATTTATCCTGGTGATTTGAAAGTGTTCCCACTTTGTAAAAAAATTTAAAAGGATTGCCAAATCTTGTGTCTGCCAATGATGAAATATTTTCTTATCTCTACATCAAAGAATGAAAAATTCTCTTGCCTCATCTACAAAGACTGAAATATTCTCTTACATTTACCATCAAGAAAGAAAATTTTCCCTTCATCTACTATCAAGAATGAAATATTTTTTTCATCTATCTTCAAGAATGAAATGTATTCTTGCATCCACCATCAAGAATTACATATTTTCTTGCATTCAGCATCAAGAATGAAGTATTTTTTTCATCTATCTTCAAGAATCAAATGTATTCTTGCCTCCGCCATCAAGAATTACATATTTTCTTGCATCCGCCATCAAGAGTAAAATATTGTTTTCACATCTACCAGCAAGAGAATAATTTTCCTCTTCAGCGGCTTTCTGAACACTTAACTTCAATCAACTGCAGCATGGTATTAAATTCTGGTTTACTACTCCACTAAAATTTTTAATTTAACAAGGCAAGCAGGTTCTCAATCACCTCAACCACCATGAAATGCAGCCGTATCCAGAAGGACCCAAGAAGTATAAATATAATTGGCCCACTGCGATAAAAGATTTATTATGTTTGATTGGTTGGTTTGTGATCCAATGCTCTTTTGGGAGTTACACATTTAGCACCACTTTTTAACTCCTCTGTTTTCCATCACTTAATGGATTTCAAATCTGCTGCAGGTAGAGCTTAGTTTGTTAATGTAATAAAACTATTTGTTTTCAACTTCATGCATCTTGATGAAAATAGATTCCTTAGTTTTTCTCATATTTATTTTTAAAAATAGTTTATAATTTTAATGCAAGATGTTAGTGAGATTATAAATGTGATTTTAATGTTTCCCAACGTTTGGTGTCCTGAAAGAGTTAAAAATAAACTAAATTGCGTGGTTTTAATATATTTTGAGTTAATAATGCGAGTATAGACTAAAAACCTTGGGAAACACTAGCTGACAAATTTTAAAACTGTACAACTGTGCAATCATCAAAATAGCTTAAGGATGTCAAAGAGAAACAGAAAATTAGTGTTATTTTATCTTTATTTTCTTCTTAAAACAAAAGATTCCTTCAAGTAGATTTGATTATTTTAAAATTCTGGGCTTCTTAAAAATTGTTGTAAAAGAAATAAAATTAACATTTTAATTATTGCATTGTTTGTTTACAATGTACATAGGCCATCACATATTTTAAAATATGTTCTTAATTTTTGCTGTGTAGGTCATTTGGCCATGGATTGCTATACAAAGAAAGGTGACAGAGGTTATGACTTAGTTCCTGAAGACGATGAGTCAGGCGATCGCTCCGATGATTCACATAAGAAAAAGAAGAAAAAGGTAAGAGTTAAGTATTTACCATCAAATACTTCAAATAATGTTTGCTGTCACTCAGTGTTATTTTACACACCTTGCCAATTTCTAACTTACATGGAAAAGTTAATAACATGTTCATAGTAAAAATTTACTTTTCTAAAATATCTTTGACATAAAAAATAGCATTATACATTTTAATTAAAGATTCTGTATTATCTAACCAAATACTAAAGGCGTTTTCTGTTATAAATCAAGGTAATGTAGTGATAAACAAATACAACTATTTGTTGTTAGAGATTAAAGCAATGTAGAGATGTTTCATTCAACAACTACACCCTTAATATATTTCACTACTGTAATATTTTTTTAATATAAATAAATTAAATATTTTTATTTTTTTCCTACTGTACATAGGACAAAAAGAAGAAAGAGAAACGCAGGAGGTCAGACAAAAGAAAACATTCAAGCTCAAATTCTGAAAGTGATAACAGCGACTCAGAAGACCAGAAGGGGAAGAAAAGCAAGAAAGAGAGAAGGGCTGATGACAGTGAAGATGAAGCATCCAAGCTGAAGTACAAGAAGGCCGGTGCCTGGGAGGATAGAAAAGAAGCTGGTGCCAGCAATACCAAAGGTGGCAAGGCTGAGAAAAGTTACAGCAGTGAAGAGGAGGGAGAAGATAAAGGTCCAGATAGTGAAGAGCTTTTGTATAAGTCCAGGGGAAGGGAAGCTGGGAGGGGGAGAAGTGACAGCAGGGAGAGAATGAGCAGACCAGGGAAGAGTGATTTCATGGAGAAGGAGAGAGAGAAGAGGAAGCCGTCGAGGAGCAGCTCTGGGAGTGATGATGGGAAGGCAGGCGGGTCGGATCTCGCCAGAAGAGGGGACCAAGATGACCAGTGGTACAGGAAAAAGGAGGCGGATGATAAAACAAGCCCTGGTGCTCGAGACAAAGATGCAGGGAAATCTGGCAGCCAGTGGGACAAGGGTTACGACCAGAAGAGTTCCAGACCTGGCGGCAGTCGGGGTGCGGACGCTTGGGATGACAGGGACAGCGATAGAATGGATAGCCCGGATAAGAAAGACAGGTGGAGCTCTCCAGTCGGATACAAAGAGAAACCATACAGAAGGGAGTTTGACAGGGGCGGGCGGAGAGGCTATGATAATTACGGGCAAAACCGCCGAGGAGGGGATGATGGATGGCATTGGAAGAACAACTTCAGAAGAGGAGGTGGGTTTTATAACAACAGAGGAGGTTATGGTTACAGAGGTAGGAACAGAAGCCGAAGCCCACAGAATTCATATAACAGAAGAGATGGAGGTGGGTTTCAAGGGGTCACGAAAAGAGATTTCAAAGGCACAGGGGGTGACATGGAGATGTATGGGAGAGATAGGAGCAGGGATAGGAAACCGGAAGAAACCAAAGCCAGAAGAAGGACCAGGAGTAGAAGCTTCAGCAGTCGTAGCAGTTCACGCAGTACTTGAGTGTGAGGAATGAGAGAGTGGTTTATTGTTGTGAGATCTGGGTTTGGCTGCACGAGAGGGAATGTGGATGATGCCGATTTATTTCTGTGACTTGTGTATGTTTGTAGTTCCCATTTTTTTAGTCCCTTTTTCGTTTAAGTATTGTAGTAGAGCACGGATGTTCAATTCTTAGAAAAATGCCCCAATAGTTATGACTAAATTTCAGTGCGGCATTTGAATTGCAGTTACTGCAACATATTTTAGAGGTTAAGGAATATGCTTGAACATTTTAGTAAAAAAAAAATTTAAGGCAGTCAAACAGAAAGATTTTTTTTTAATTAACTAATATATAATTGTGTAACCTTTTTTTTTATGTGGGTGAGAATTTTCTCAATTATCGTTTTTTTTTTGGCCCTGCTTATGTAAAGCTTAATTATTCTGAATCTTGATTTTAAAATAAATAGCTTTAATTAGTCATTATAATAGACACATTTCTACCACCCTAAGTAGAAAAAAATCAATTTTTAATGTAACTAACGTGATTAGCTTCTAGTATAGTACATGTTTTATATATATATGACTAATTTAATGTGTTCTTAACTGGTTTTTCTATTATTATGTTGCTTATTTAAAAATAATGTACACATGTAAATTGGTTTAACCTTGTACCAAATTAATGTGTTTGGTATGTTAATAAATATTATTTTACAAGTGTAAAGAACAATGAAGTGTAATCACACTTAAAAATAGCATATGTGTTCTCTTGAATGACACAAAAAAAATCAAGCATTGGCCACACATATCTACTGATGTTGATTAAGCTAAGTTTGGTTTATCTTCTCATGCTAATTTTAATCTTATTTGGTGTATCTTTTGATGTTCAGTTATGTCTTAAATTTGACATTTGTTTTATAAGGGAAAACCTACAATTTATTGCAATGACTACAGAAATACTAATATTTTTGCTGTGTTAATTACTTCATGTCCAACTATCCTATTGCTAGGGGTTGACACTCTTAGCACAGTATTATTTTTTTTGTAAAATAAATTCAATATTTTAAATTACTTGTATATATGTCTCTTGTCACTTATTTTAAACCAGGTACTTGTTACATGGTTTATTGCATTTGCAGTAAAAAAAAATCCTTTATTTTACCAACTAAACACCTTTCTCATTACAAATTTGTTGTATTTAATACAATTATCATTAAACTTGAAAACTGGAATAAGATTTCTTTTGTCTTTTATGTATACACTGTGTATAACTTATAACCAAATCAAGAATTCCCAATCATTTGTGGGTGACACTGTTTTTATAAAACAAAAATTGACCGGTGATCATAATACAACTACAAAAGCCATTTCAATCAAAAAGCCATATTCAACTTTAAAAAAAAAATTATACTCTTATTACTTGACATTTTTTTCTTGTTACTGTATAAAGTTGTGACCTTGCAGAAACTCTTTTGTTACCCATAAGTTGGAAACCCTTATGCATCAGTTCTTGTGATCTTTTCTTAGTTAATGAAACCACTGTGTGTTGCACTATACCCACCTTTACTGGAGTAGGATCGGAGCAGTCATACTAATTACCATCCGTATCATGGATACAACTATCACTAATACAGCTTATAGCTTATCTTAAGTCGTTGGAGGGTGACACCCTGAGTTATGGCCAAAGAGTGTCAACCAAGCTAGTGGCGCCACTGAACAAGTGTGGGTTGAAATTTCCTGTTTGTGCTTTAGGCTGTATGTAATAGGCCTGTGTGCAGAATCCTATTGTAGGCCTAATCTTGTTAATGGAAATTTACCCTGCTGATTCTATGAAAATCATCAAGACTTTACATAACAAAATGATTGTTTTACAGGTATGACTATGGTCATAGATCATCACAAAAAGCCAGACCCAAACTCATTTAAAATGGGATTTTTCTAATCAGTAGAACATTGGCTTAGAAGATCCTGTTATAGGAAGTGGGGGTCAACTTTTCCCCATTACATATATATAAATATATATATATATATATATAAATATATATATATAAATATATATATATATATATATATATACAGTGGCGTAGGCAGGGGGGTCATAACCCCCCCCCCCATAGACCCCTCGGTATATATATAAAAAGTATGAGGGGGGGGGGTGCAAATCGAAAGTTTGTCCCCGGGTAAAAATTGGACCCCCCCTTGAGATGATCCTGGCTACGCCACTGTATATATATATATATATATATATATATACCCTGCCTGCGTTCATATATGCACCAGTGTTTCTATAAGACATTTTCCTCGGGGGTGGGGGGGGGGTGGGTAGTGCATCAAATGAATGTAACATAAACGCTTGAAGTCTTTTGGGCGTGGTGTTTTGAAAGCCCACCTCTTTGGGCGTGTTTGAATTATCTCCCTCCCCTCCTTGTTAAACTACCATGTTTGCCGTCCCGTATCGATTCTTGTATTTGCTTATCTGATCTTTAGCTTCCACTCTACGACAAAGCTTTAGGTGACATTAAATTTCCTGTATACACCGTAATGTTCTTTTCTTTTGGAAACAACTGCAATTAGTTAGAGTTAGAGCAGATAAATCGTAGGAAAGGCACCTACAACTCTTATCTCATTTTAATTTTATTCGCATCTACTCCATCAATCTCATACCTCACTAATAAAAAGGTCGATACAATACTATCTAGGCTATATTTACTCAAGTACTTTTAAAAATGACCACTAAAAAAGATAATAATAATAAACGTAGTACAATGTATTAAACATATAAATATGTTTAAAATGTTTCATGAACAACCAACGTTTTCACAACGTAGCCTAACTAGATCTACATGTTATTTTCAGTGCGCATCTAGATTTACTTTTAGGTATTTTTGTTTCATTCATGAAGAGGCAGGCCTCGTAGCTACATGGAAGTAATCGACAACAAAGGGCGATAACGAAATCTATTATAATGAATTAAAATTAAATAGGCCTAGTATTAAAAATAAATTGTGAAATAGCCACAATAGACCTGTATAATAACAATGTACTTTATAACAATTATTTATGTAGCTTTATCTTGATATGGCGTTGAAATAAAAATTGAATTGTTTAACAAGGGACAAATGTGATATACTTTATTAGCCGGCGATGTTGACAGATTTGTGGTGTTCGTTCTGCGGTAAAAAGCTGTTACTAGTGTTACCTCCCCTACCCCTTCAGCCTAAATTTTTATTCGGATAAAAATGGGTGTGTTGTAAAAGTCAAGTAGGCCTAGCCTAGTGTTTGCTTGCATAGGTAGCTTAATTTGTGGGAGAGGGGGGGGGGGGGAATAATGTCACGAAAGAACAGCAACCTATGAGTTTCAAATAACATTTAGGCTTATGGATTGTCAAATGAAGGCAGTACCCACACATTCGTAAGCTTGGTAGACCGATGAGCCCGTCTAGGTGTCGTCCATAAATGACGTCATAGTCCTAGTGGGGGGCGGGGGGAGTGGTCCGTGATTTTGGTACAATGTGTGATGAAGAGGAGGGAGGGGGGGGGGTCCGGATAAGCGTGATCACTTTCCATTTTTTTTTAAAAAGGAATTTTAGAACGGAGTTTTAGCTCTTTTAGAAAACTGTTCTAATAAATTGAATTAGAGATTGATATGGATACCCCTTAGATTTGTAGTTAAAGTACTCGTTATTAACAACTGCATGTTTGGGTTATCTTTTAGTGCTAGTAGTAGTAGTTAGAGAAAATAAAATAAAACAACGACGGGCGAAATGTGTACCAGTTCACCTTTCCCCCTGCCCGCGTCCTTGTTCTCCTAGAGCAGTGGTTCCCAACCTTTTTCGAGTGGCGACCCCCTTTTATTAAAGTAAGTGACCCGCGACCCCCATAGAATTAAAAAGCCGAAATTAGTATGGAAATTAATAAGCATTAAAATAAGATTTTCTAGTAGACTTTCAATATGAACTACTCTTGATAACTGTTTAAATAGCATGAGTAAAATTGCATACTATTCACTAAACCTTCGTGGTTAACTTTTTAATTAAAATTTTTTTTTGTTAACGCCAACCTATGTCATTATAATTATCTTAATTTTGTTTTTAATCGAAGAATAGTGTTGAAAATATATTATCGAAAAGTCAATCAATTTTACGTTTGGGTATGAATGGTGAATACTACACCAAAATTGTGTCTGCAGTTTTTCATCTTACTCGGAATCATTCTGCAAATCAAAGAATTCATCTTGTAATTCATCGGGAATGCTGGCAACATCAAGGGAAGAAGAGAATGGGTAATGCATAAATGCAGATTCTTCTTTTTTTCAGCTCAGAGAAATAGCGATGCAGTTCGTTTTCAAGAGATTCAAGATGCCCAGAAATCGCTTCTTTCAAAATTTTAATTATCTCACAATCAGATTCATCTACCGCACCGCAGATTTTTAAAATTTACAATATTTCCAAGATTTATTTTCTTTACCGATTTTGCAGTTTAGATGAAAATGCCCCGAGATTATCATGGAAAGTTATAATATTCGTTCATTTTCCCTGAAGCTTCAAGTTAAGCTTATCTTGATGTTCGAACACATCTGCCAGGTATGATACTCTCTCCAACCACTCTATGTCGTTTTAAGTATACCAAAAAGTCTTGTTTCCTTTGCACTTCCAAGAACAATTTGATTTCAGATTTCAATTAAAAAACACAACAACAATTCGTTTGACAGCCAGCGTACTGTAGTGTAGAAGAGCAGAACCTCGTGATCTATATTAATGTTTTTGCTCAGTTCTTTGAAGGCTCCAGATTTTATATAATTTACGACTTATACTAGAAATGGACTCTTGATGTCGATTGGTTAGGGCAGTGGTTAGGGAGCTAAATCTTTTCTGTTTTCTGAAAGCCCGATTTTGAGCTAAACATAGATGGCGCGCAATCCGTACAAACCCCCACAGCCGTTGTAACCCATTTTAATCATCCAGTTTCAAAAAAGTTATTTATTTTCTCCATGCTATCTTCACAAAAGAGCAACTCTTCTTTGCTATCATCCGCGTGAATATAGACACAGACCAGCAACTGCGAACAAGAACTCACGTCTGTTGATTTATCAACTTGAAAAGCAAACAATGGTGAAAGCTTAATTTCAATAAAAATGTGTTATTTAACATTTACGTACATGCAGCGTTTGATGAGATTTTCTCCTATTGTTTTTTTTTTTGCTTGGCATTTTCTATCGCGACTTCATTTGATGCTTGCACTAATGCTGGTGAAAACTTCTTGTTCGATCAAGTCTCTGGCGTTTGCAACTAGCTTCTTACCGACGAAAGAACTCCATATATTTTTTGGTGTGTTCCGAATGACGTTTTAGTTTTGAAGATTTCATAGATTCGTGACTGAGAACAACTTTGTACAGTGCGCTTTGTTTCTTCTCTATTACATTTCCAGTGATGTTAATGAAGCCGAATTTCAAAAATTCTTCTAAATATTTATGTTTTGTTTCAAATTACTAAGGTTTAGTATACCAGTTGGCGACCCCCCAGAAAGACCTTCGCGACCCACAGGGGGGTCGCGACCCCCAGGTTGGGAACCCGTGTCCTAGAGTCTTGTCTAAAAATCATCGTTGATAAAGATATCGCATGTGACATTGAGTTTTTTTTTAAAAAGTTTAAAAATGTAAATAGCAAGAACAATAACTCTTTGATAACTTTCTAACCCGATAACTTATCACACAATATCACAAAGAGAACCAGCCCAGAATTACCTCGCTTGATATGTTCTAACATGAACATTCCTATCAAAAATTGATAAAATATAAAAAATCGATATCAACCTTCTTCGTTAAAAATATACTTAGTTGAAATAAAACCATTGCAACAACGGCTATAAAAATGTCTTCTTCAATCACCACGGTTTAGTGTTATCTCTCGGAGAAAAAAAAAATGCTATTGTAAAATTTGTCGTGTCAATAAAACTGAATTACGACATACACACTGTACTGTAGGCTAGCACACTGGTGAGATAGCGGGATTACTGGCTTGAGAGAGAGACTGAGATATGGCTGGTGGGTTTTTTTTTGGCAAGATCTCTAGGCACTAGTCAAATAGGCTTTTTGAAATGACATATTGATTCCGTAGCCTACTCAATACGTGAAATGACATGACATTGATCCCGTAGCCTACCCAAAACTTGAAATGACAGGACATATTGACCTCAAACACAAGTCGATCCCATAGTTCACTATACATGTCAAATGACAAGTCGATCACACAGTTCACTCTACATGTCAAATGACAAGTCGATCACAGTTCCACTCTACATGTCAAATGGCATTTGATCCCACAGTTCCACTCTACATGTCAAATGACAAGTTGATCTCATAGTTCCACTCTACATGTCAAATGACAAGTTGATCTCAGTTCCACTCTACATGTCAAATGGCATTTGATCCCACAGTTCCACTCTACATGTCAAATGACAAGTTTATCCCAGTTCCACTCTACATGTCAAATGACAAGTTGATCTCATAGTTCCACTCCCTTGTCAAATGACAAGTTAAACCTTTACCCAACACATGTGAAATGATACACCCTGTTGATCTAACAGTTCACCTAACTTATAAATAACATCATCCCATACTTCATACTAGCCCAATTAGATATGCAATATTTTTTTTTACAAACTGTTTCATTCAACTTGACTACCATTCCCTCACAACTGCCAAAGTACTTCATACTCAAAGCACACACATAACAATATTACACATACTTCATTGGCCAATTGAGACCACTAATGACCGGTTCAACACAAAAGCATGTCACTATATAACAATTCTTTTTTATTTCCTTAAAGTCTTTTTTAAAAACCCTAAGACTAAACAGTGGTAGTAGTGGGCAATTCCTATAAAGATCAAAAGAACGCACCCCTATTCAATTTGTCCTATTCTGGGGTGGTACTTTATTTGCTTAATAAATGTATCGGGTCAGTTTACTTGACCCCTCTTCTTTTACCATCAACATAATCAAATACCAGTACAGGATAAAATATTCAGGATCTGCCCCTGGTGATGATGCAGGTTCATTTCCCCACTTATCAAGTAGGTCCTTTACAACTTAATACTAGCCTTAAAATTTTACGCCCAAACAAGTAAGGTACTATAAATAAATTATTTTTCCTATCCATTTTTGTGTGTTTGCTTTCATCATACACGCACAGGAACACATTTGTTGTGAAGTAACAAGTACCCAACACAAGTGGAATACAAAATGCATCATTTATTAATTATGATTAACAATGATAAGCGATTCTGTTTAGATTTGAATAAAATTTAAAGGGACAAAAAGGTTACAAATTAAAGCGGTTTCGATAAGCACACATAAATTAAGCATACATTTATAAAAACACATCATTGGAATTGTTGAACAACAGTTAACAATAAATATCTAGAAGAATAGAGTTACAGAATATTAAAATAAAAATATTTCCAGGACACAAAAATCATTATTAATTTAATTAAAAAAAAAAACAGCTTGATAGGTAAAATTTTAATGTTGGCTATTTATACTATAGCTTCCAATATAGCATAAAAATATGCGTTAAGTCTCAATTGAAACAAAAAAAAATTGCATACTTGGCAGTTAAAAAAATAAATAAATAAAACGGGCATTGAGCACAAGTTTTTTCTAAACTGTGGCAGGTAATATTGTTTACAAAACAGACAAATCATCACCATGTCAACATAGGGTTCACTTTTCTGAATCTACAACAGTTACATCATTTTAAGAGTTTTACCTAGCAAAGACACAACATTTATAGAAGTAAGGGAAAAATATCAATTTACAACATAAAGATTGGAATTGCTTAAGATTTATGATAAGTAAGTAAGGCTGGATCCTTAAAATAAAACTTAAAAATAATTTAACTAAAGTCTTATTAAATAGCATGGAAAGACACTTATGTGAATTATGAAGATTAAGATACTTTTCGTCCCTTACAGTATCATTTGAATTACGTCAAGCAGCCTCAACATGATTTGAGGAATCACCCACACAGTAATTAAAGGCAATCCACGGAATTTCGGGAATGGAATTTATAAAAGCAAATCACTGGAATGTTATTTTGGTTTTTTAAAAACATTAATTTGTTTTGTTGAGTGGCTAATATCACAGGGCAACATTGGTTTACTAAAAACTTGACTTGGCTAGTAAAATGCTTTATAAAACAAATCAGACAATTAAAAAAACTATTATATATAACTATAAACATGAAATGCATAATTGTAGCTTTACAACCATCTTTCTTTAAAAATGTAAATATAAATATATGTAGGTGGAAGGGAATCTTTATCATAAAAGTGCTATTCATGTACCATGCAGAATTTGCACTTGGATGATTCATGCATAAAACATGAATGGCAGTACATCATAACTGAATGAGGTATGGTATCAGGTTTAGACAAATGTAGCAGCTACTATGTATTTAATAAAATCACACTTAAATGAAATAATGTAAATGTAAAATACACAAAAAGGCAACAAATCTCAAGCAAAAGCACTACAAGAGTTAAATTAGTTACCTAGCATACAGGCCTGCAAAAACTAAAGATTCTTTTTGACAATAGTTTTACAAATAACTAAGCCTTGCACCTATTGCTGAAATCACAATCATTTTAATTTCAACAATACTATAAATCTCCTCAACCTCCTAACTAACAAAATAGCACTGCTATGGTATACAATGTTAAATTGACAGTTTAATTAGAGTACATTTAAATTAGCTGTTTAATAATAGTGAGAAAAGAAACCTTTACTAATGTCTTTATAACTATAAATTTGCTCAATCTCCTAAATAACAAAATAGCACTGCTATAGTATATAATGTTAAATGGCAAGTTTAAATAGAGTACATTGAATCTAGCTGTTTCAATAATAGTGAGAAAAGAAACCTAGTGTTACTACTAATGTCTTTACATTCAACCACATATTGTAATAAGCTTTCTACTTTCTATGATGACATTTTATGTTGCAGACTAGATAAAAGGAATAGTAACATGAACAATTACAAACATAAATACAATCCAAAGAGCAAAGTGTATTACACAAAATCTTTCCATCTGCATCGTAATTAAAATAAATCTACTGCATCTAAAAGAAATATTACACCTATTTTTAAGTTTTTATTATATTCATTACTACTAATGTGCTTTAATTTTGGAAGATTTGAATAGTAATAAAATGCTTTTTTACAAATAAAGATTAGCTCAATAATAATAATGAATATTAACTTTTGTGGACATTTTTCTAAAAAATTTTTATTTATTATTTAATATCCTAAATAATTCAAAATTTTCTAAAAACTTAGGCCCCAAAGATTTAGGCAAAAATTGTTAGTCAAGATACGATGATTAACTTGATAAAAAAGTTTTTTGGTCTGAAAAATGTATACATTTGCAAGCCTTTTGTAAAATAAAGGCAACGAAGTCATGACGTACCTGTGCATGTAAAAACATTGAACTTTTAAATACAATAAAACAGTTGTATTAGATTTATAAAGTTATAACTAAATTTTTGTATGAATGTGACCTATAATTTGGGGTGAATTCAAATTAGGAGTAATAATTTTAAATGATATTTATGTTAAAAACTAAACACGCATGTTATGGTCCTGATATCCGTCGTCCTAGGCGTGTAACATCATATATGGACAACAAATAATTCTATATGTTCCTTTTTCTAAAATAGCACCTTCCCAAACTAATATTTAAAAAATACAGAAAATCAAAATAGTTACAAATAAATTAAGATGTGTATTATATTTATAACAACATGGGACTACATATTATTAGTACCAGTATTATTTTGAGAATATTTAAAAAGCTTAATTTTAAAAATTAAAATTTAAGAGATAAAAAGATACATTAGGTAACTTAAAAGAACTAATCCATACTTTGTTACTGAATTGTCATCATACATATGAAGGATGCATGGTGTGTGATGCATTTAAAATGTACTGATAAATTGTGGTATGTGTTGTGTTAAGTGTGTTGGGAATGATGTGTTGCTGGATAAGTGTGTAAAGGCAGTGATTTGTTTAAAAATGTTGTGGAGGTTTTAAATATATTAAAATAACCTTTCATGTGTTAAAATAAAATATAATCCAACCTATAGTCCATTGTCATGAGATTCCAACTGCTTAAAAAGTATTTGTCTCAAGGAACCACACACATATAAAACAAAATAAGCTTAACTTTTTGCTTAATTCTTTTTTTTTTTTTTTTTTAGAAAACCAAAGCACATTAAAATGATAAACATATATAACTACTGAAAAATTTAATTGTATATAATATTTGTGTAAGTAATGGGAGGAAATGTGTAAAAGAAATATTTATTGCTGTAATAATCTGTATGTTAATGAAAAACATACATTTGATGGAAATATGCTTATTTAGTTTTTTATAATGGGCATGGTCCCTAAAAATGAAGAGAAGTTTTTATGGATTTTCAACCTTTTATAAAATAAAAATTAAACAAAATTTGTGATACATATAGTGTAAATGTCTATTCATAAAAATCTGTAACTATTAAATCTCAGCAAGCCTAATTGGAAATGAATTTAAAACGCTTTTAAAATACTCATACTCTGCTGTGGCACACAGGTTATGGGCATTAGTTTATACAACAAATCTAAATAACAAAAGGGGGCAATTAAATTATTTACATTGATTAGTACAAACACATTTTGGTTTTGTATGGTAGGAAAGCACAGAAGTATACATGAGATAGTTGTCATGACAGTTGTATCTCTAAATTAAGACACCACATTGTAAGATTCACCCAAAGTATGACAAATTATTAACTGCTTGTACTTGAGCAAACCATGACATTAAATAACATTGTAAAAGAAAGTATTTAAAAAACAAAATCTGATTTTCAGTACTTAAAAAAACGTTCAATATTGTGATTGAATTTTAATGGAAAATGTACCCGATTTTTCAAAAACTACATTCTTTTAACTATCCTATCTATTTGTCAAATAAATACATGACTAAAATAAATTTAACTTTTAAGCGACTAGATCTAGTAGAAATTAATTATTGCTGCTTAAAAAGTACATTGTTTAAAAAATATACATTGTCTTCTTTAAAAATTTAAATTTAAGGAAACCTACAGTATTAAGGAACAAGAATAGACCTATTTTTTTCCAAATAGAACAAAACTATTTCAAGATCAGTTGAACAAGGCACTTTTGTTGAGATCTGGGTATACAGAAGGCATTGAATGGCTGGGTCCAGGCTGTAAAATATTTTTCTTTTAACCATTTACAGCCTGATCATGGTTGTTGGAATATAAAGGGCTAATACTGTTGATGATAGTAAATCTCAGCATCTAAAAAGAAAATTATGAAGGAAAAAAACATGATGCATCAAAAACGGTGAAATTAACCCATTTCATTAATTTTTTTTCTGCTAATTTCCGGGTGCAAGATCAGGGGGGGGGGGGGGGAGAATTTTTTTTTGTTTTTGGGAATCTGCTTTAATAAAATTGTTTGTTTATAAGTACTAGATCTATAAGAAATAAAAAATAAACTATCTAGTCAACTGTATTTAATTTTTAAACTACAGACCTCCACAATTTCAAAATAATTTTTTTTTTTAGAAAAATAATGAAATTGTTAGACGTGGATGGCATAAGTTTCTTAAACATAGTCTTTTGACATGTGGATATTCATTTCAAAAGCAAAATGAAAATTAAATTTCAAGGTTTTTTTTTTTTTTTTTTTACAATTTTGTTTTTAGATAAATATATTCAGACCATTTAAAACTTATTGGGAATAACTTTACCTAAGATTGTGGTAGAGAATGGAAACTGAGTAATTAACGGACTGTTTTTTTACTTACTGGGAATAACTTTACCCACAACGTAAGATGGGGTGGTGGTCGAGATTGGAACTTGAGCTATTGACATGGCCTGAGGTATCTGTCTTGGCTGGTAGGTGTTGGTAGGAGCTTGGGTGATCGTCACCTCTGAGCCTAATCACACAAAAATAAATTACACATTAACTTTATAATTACATAAAAAAGAAATTGTACTGGAATAAATGGTTATAATTAGGGTTAAACTTCTACAACCTTCATGTGTCCCCCTCCCTTTAGTGCAATCCTTTAGTTGTGTAACAAACTTCTTCGTTCTTAATTTTTAGTGTGGGAAGGGATCGAGCCTTATCTGCCGGAGGGTTTGAACTCGAGACTTTTTCGAATTTATCAACCATGAGCTTTTGCCGACTCGACCACTCCTCCATCACAATTAAGGATACTGGTTTTGCGCCATTGAGGCCGTTGACTCCAATTTCAGCCTGCTTTTCTTTTAGGATTTGCTTCCATAGCCTTTGTGCAACCAAGAACAAACTACAAGGCAGCAGTTGTTTAATTTTGGAGTTGTCTCTCCTAGAAGAGTGGCTGTCCCCAGCTAACGAGCCTCATCTGCCTGAGGGTTCGAACTGGAGACTTTTCGGTTTAGCAACCATGAGCTTTACCGACTCGACCACGCCGACCCCAAAACAAACAATTTGATAATTTTAAAAGCTGCAGATCAATGCTTGCAAAAACTTCATTTTATATAATTTAAGATGCTGTTGATAAGTCTGTTAGCATTAAGTACTTTTTAGCATTCGACTCAAAACTTAATTGGGACCCTATTATAACACTCAAATCAACTTTTTGTTTATTAATATAATTAATGAAATATGCTAATTAATAATTAAAAGGAAATAAGTTTAAAGCGTTGGCTGTGAGTAGCAAGTACTTCATTTTATAAGATCCTTGCTACCTGAATGTAAAATTTTACCGCCTACAAGAATGCTGAATGACACAGTACCATGGCCTACATAGACCAGACAATTACACTCCATATTTTTAACTATTTGGGCCATTCTGTATTCTCAATAACCAAACAAATATTAGCTAGGTAGATAAGCCATGAAATGTTTTAAAACTTCAGACCTGGTGGAAATACAATATGTATTTGTACACATAAAGAAACACACCACCAGTTGGTATAATGAAAGAATGTTCAATACATTTTAACTGTAGGCAAAATGTGTGTTGAGACAGCAATCAGAAGCATAATGTCCGATTTTATTTTGTAAAAATATTTATACTTTATTTTGTAAAATATTTCTCGATACAGAGAAATTTTGAACAACACACATGTAATCATGAAAATTGTAGAACCTCATTGATTTATCCCCTGTGAACATCATGGAAATTATGATAGATTGATAGAGGGAGTTGCAAAACAATTAACATCAGATTGTAATGTTAAATTAAATTTCATAAACAGATCTTTTTCTGTAATTGCATTTGCAACTAAACAAGAAGAACTGTTAGGAGTAAAGTTCGCGTTACACTTTGTCGTGAAGTCGAAAAAGGACGACCAATAACACCTAAAAGGTACTCGAAACGGATATCAATTACATGCTAGCCCCAATGCAAACAGAATTACAGAGCCCATAAAAAGAAGGGACAGGTTTAAACACATTGCAAATATCACTCCAGCTTTTACCAGTGGGATCAATAATCGACTGTGTTTAGTGGGACCAAAAAATTATCTGTGTACGTTTTCATCATTTGACATTTGAGGACATCGTTTAAAATTTTAAATATTTTTATGGAAATTCTAAATATTTTTCGACTATAATTAATTGATATCATTAACAAGGGAAAAATACTGTGAGCAAATATGTTAATTGTTTTGATATAAAATAAAATTTCAACAAGTTTATCATTTATCAAATCATGTTATTACTTTTAATCTAATAAAATAAAGTTTAGTATAGTCCATTGTATTAACTGTAATGTTAGTATTTTCCCCTTAGCAGTAAAAAAAAAAAAAAGATACATGATTTTGCATAGATAAGAAGCAACTGCACAGTGTGCTCTTTATGGCCCTAGATAACAGACTTGAACAAATCTTTTGTGTAACTTTGACCTGAGACAATACCTGGCCCCAGATAGCCAGCACAGCTAAGGATAAAGCAGTACTCAGGTTAAGAAATATTTTTTTCCCCTCCTCTTCTGTGTTGAACAGTTATTTTAGGTCAGTGCTGATAAGATAAGAATGGAGGTCACAATGCTGAAGCGAAATTAAGCAATTTACCAATAAATTCTAGCTAATGACAAACAGCTTTTTCTCTGAAGATAACTGATTTGATACGACAGAAGGAGTAGGCTTAAGAAACTATTTTACTTGGTCTGTTATCTGAAATTGATACTTTTTTTAAAAAACATGAAACAGTTCAATATTGAAGATTTTTTAAAAGCATTTAGGAATATTCATTTTTAGATCTAGTCTTGTTGCAACATTGGAGAAACAAAAACTCAGAGTATGTTTCAACAGTACAAAGGCAAATTGCATTAACTGAAGAGGACTGGTTTGTTTATAAGAGATAATATGATCAATACTAATCTGGACCCATAAATCAGGGTTGTCATTTGCAACTAGTATTTGTAGCTAGTTCACTACAAGTAATCTAACTCTGCTTGTTAGTAAGATTCTTATATTTAGGCACTATTTGACACTTGTAAATATTATACCCCTAATTAACTTTACACACTATGGCTATAAATGTTTAAGATAAGAACAATGTGTAGTAAAAATAAAAGTAAAAATAAAAGCATGTAATATAACTTACTTTCAACAGGTAATCCTAGTTGCATTAGAGTATATTCAGCAGCAAATATCTTTGCTTCTTCAACAGTTCTACATAATTTATTTGGCTGAATAGTCTGAGATGGAAGAGCCGGTATAGAAACCTGAAAATAATTAGCAAAATAAATTTATTTTCTGTAAATATATATTAAATTATCATCTTTTAAGAAGAAATAAGAAAAAAATGTCTTATTTTCAAAGTTTTTGACACTTGTTTACCTTTAATGTTCATTAATTAATATTTTATTATTAATTAGTTGTACCTTGAATAAAAAGAACTGACAATCTGTATTGGTAGAAGCATCTCTTTGAATAGCAGAATGAAGCTGGTACACTGGAAGTCCCCAATGGTTTTTCTGACATAATTCTTCTAAAACCTGAATAACCAAGAAAAATGTTACTTTAGAATATTAAACAACTATACTAAACGTTTAGCAACTGCAGTAGTAATGAGTTTATGCTTAGGGGTTGTTTAATTTTACTCAATCTATACCTCTTGAACACCCCCCCCCTAAACAGCAGTAAGTTTGAAACCAACCCTAAAAAAATATAACTTAAATTTCATAAGAATCTAAATATTTTTCTGTATTTTATTTCCGATTTCAAATATCTACCACACATGTTGCGTGACAATGCAAATAATGATAGTCCCTATAATGAATCTCAGAAGCAATACATAATAGAAAATTGGCAAATAAAATGAAAATAGCAGACAAAAGCATTAGAAAAAGAATTTTTAAAATTGTTATCATGCTAAATACTCATTGTAATTTTAAAATAAAATATGTTAATTTTATGTTTATTACAGATGTATGAAATGGTGAGAATCAAACTACAATATTTTAACCATATGTTGTATAGATAGGGGTATAGACTGAACACAGAATATAAGCTAAGTTAAACTAGCATTAGTTAAGTTTATTAATTTAAAAAGAATATTTAATTTTGTTTACAAAGCAATGCAATGAGTGCTTACTTATAGAAAGCATAAATAATAGAGATACAAAAGCAGATACAGCCACAAATTTAGTTTTCAGAGATTAACAAAAAAAAAATGAATTAATCTTTTCTAGAAAGTCTACTTTAGTCAGTGAGAGACCACAATTTGAAAAGCGAAGTGTTAGCTAATGGCATCATCATTGTAAAAAAAAACTTAATTTAATGAAAAGGAAAAAATAATTGTATGAAAACTAGTAAGTTTTAAAAGATTAAACATTACAATAAAAAAAATATTTTTTTTTAAAAATTTCTGAGAAGAAATAAATATAAATAAATGAAAATTTCTTTAAAAATTTACTAAAATTAGATTATGTAAAGCTATATAAAGCAATTATATAGAGAAAATGTACTAGACTAGAAAAAGCTAGGAGAAATGTGATTTATGCACAAGCTTGTGTACTAAAGGCATGTTCAGCTGTACCCCTACCTGTACAGGTGATCTCACACTCAAAGGTTTGAGTGTGGTTGGATTGATGGGAGTTAACTCCACACCAGGCAACAGGTCAAGCAGACGACCCTAGTTTTGAGTAGTTGGTCATTTTATTTTTAGTATTTTACTTTTGGAAAAAGTATCAACAATTGTATCCCACACCCAGGAAAAAAAAAAGGACGACTTATTACAGTAGTTAATATTTTAAAGGATGACTGCAAACTTAAAATTTGAAAGACCATGATAATATTGTTAGCATACAAGTCAACAATGTTGAAAGAACTTTTAAAAGTTATATTTAACAGGGTTTTCAGTCATTTATTAAAAATTGAATTGGCCTCATTCCATTTTGTATAAATTTATAAGCCTCTGATTTTTAAAATACTGGCATAATGAAAACAAAAAAGCTTACTTCAGATGGGTGTCTTCTGTAGCCTCCCTTGGTAAAAGAAGGGATGTAACCTTTGTTGCCACCGGCTGCTCTTGACCCAGCTGCACCACGCCCTCTGCCACCACGTATAGGGAGGGTTGGCCGCAAGACACCCCTGGGATTTACATGCACAATTTGTTAATTCAGTATGAACAATTTAGTAAAAGTTGTAAAATTAAAATATTTTCATCCTTTCCCGCTTTTGCCCAAGACATATGGGGCAGATAAAGTAGAGTTCATCAGATTTAATGACCGTAGCATTCAAGGGGATAGTGTGGCAGGCACTATATTCAGCCACAAGTTTCCCCTAAAGTTATTCAGTTATCCATAAGAGATAGGTAGACTCAGGGGTCCTTTAGACTCTAGCCCAGGAAACAAACTCTAGACTTTTGGGTAATCAGTCGTAAGCTTTACCAAGAATTAAAATATACCTTTAAAAGTTTTCTTGTAAATTTACGTACAAGGACAAGTATCAAACCAAATATTATTAAACTATCCCTTCCAGTAGCATGCAGCAGTAAGTCTTACCCCAAAGGCATAAAATTATTAATGTAAATTGTGATCTGGAAAAGAATTAATTATCAGTTAATTAAACTGATTACCTACCTGGCACCTTGCGCCATCAGCTGCCCATAAATTGGGGTCAAAAGTTGACTGTCAACATCAATCCCTAGAACCTGTTGAAAATTGTGCAAAGTCTTAGTGAACTGTGATCATACTTTAAACATGGCATTTAACCCAAATATCAGGAGCTCAAATACTTAACACAGTGTGGTTTTCATTTGTGTCTATCAGTTACAGATAAAATAGGATGGTGCAGTAGAGGAGAATTTTTGGTTTCTGGGTTTAAGTCCATAAGATGCTCATGGTCATAATTAAGTAAATGCCCTAACAAATGCTGTATGCAAAGTGTGCAAAGAAAAATATACCCTTGTACGCAAATGTAACAGATGAGGTCTATTTCTACTACTCATTGACACATCTTGTCCAAAGGATCTCATGGACACACACACAACTTGTCCAAAGGATCTCATGGACACACACACAACTTGTCCAAAGGATCTCATGGACACACACACACAACTTGCCCTAAGGATCTCATGGACACACACACAACTTGCTCAAACAATCTCATGGACCCACACACACACAACTTGCTCAAACAATCTCATGGACACACACACAACTTGTCCAAAGGATCTCATAAACACACACACACAACTTGCTCAAACAATCTCATGGACCCACACAACTTGCTCAAACAATCTCATGGACCCACACACAACTTGTCCAAAGGATCTCATGGACACACACACAACTTGCTCAAACAATCTCATGGACACACACACAACTTGCTCAAACAATCTCATGGACCCACACACAACTTGTCCAAAGGATCTCATGGACACACACACAACTTGCTCAAACAATCTCATGGACAAACACACAACATGTCCAAAGGATCTCATGGACAAATGCCTTGCCCAAAGGATAAGTTATTTCCATATCAATGTTAAGCTAAAGCTCAATAATTTGAAACCCACCTGAGGTAATCCTTTGGATTTAGAGAGTTTCAAGTTATGTTCATTTTTATCAACTGGTTTAGCAAGTACAACTTCCACTTTAGATCCATCAATCTCATAATCTGTCGACAGTTGGATAAATAATAATTGATAAAATGATAGATGATAATAATAATAATGTAAGGCTACATAGTTCTATTCAGATGTGGTTTTAATAAATTCTTATTGACAGCATTGCTCAAGGTAGATTTTTAATTACATTAAAAAAAAAAGTCTTATTTTAATTTTTTTTTTACACCATATAAATAAAATTTTAGAGAGTGTTTTATTAAGTTTTCTGTATTGATATTTTAATGAAAAGTTATAAGTAGTTCTTATATAGTAGTAAGGTTCCCCTGCCAAACCTGACGGTCTATGGGGCAAGTGAAGTAGAGTTCACCTGTTTCTGTGACCTCGGCATATGAAGGGATAGTGTAGTCAGCACTATGCACAGCCGCCTTTACTTTCCCTAACAAGAGTTAGGTACCCATCAGAGCTGGGTGGACCCAGGGTCTACTAGCTTGAACCCAGATTCGAACTCGAGACACACGGGTTAGCAGTCTAGCTCTCTACCACTAAGCCACTCCGTCCCTCAGTTCTTATATAAGCCTACGGCAAAAAGAAAGATTACCTTTCATAAGTGACATAGCTTTAAGAGCATCCTCCCTCTGCCTGAAGTGAACGAAGGCATAATCTCTCAGCTTCTTAACCCGCTCCACGCAATCGTTTTTGCCGACAACTTTCTCAAAGTGTTCCTGGAGGCTCTCTTCTGTTGTTGATAGCATCAGGTTTCTGACATATAGGATCCGAACCTGCAACATACACAGAAAGCTTTGACATTTAAGATCTGAACCTACCCCTGCAACATATATGTAAGGTTTCTGACATATAGGATCCGAACCTGCAACATATACGTAAGGTTTCTGACATATAGGATCTGAACCTGCAACATATATGTAAGGTTTCTGACATATAATATCTGAACCTGCCCCTGCAACATATACGTAAGGTTTCTGACATTTAAGATCTGAACTTGCAACATCTACATGCAATGTTTTTGTACCTATACGATTCAAACCTGCAACATACTCATGTGGGTTTCCACATTTCAACCAAGTTTATAAAAATCAGTAACTTAGAATGTTTAAACATCATGCTTTTTAGATGTTCTGTACCACCCTTTGCTCCATTATGACCATAATCCTTCATCATCACAAAAAGCCAGAACACCTCCCATAAAAAATGTCAGACCCCCCCCCCCCCATTACCCACATCAAAATTGCAGTTTTAGTTTTATTTATTAAAAAGTGAATTAATTACTGAGCTTATGCAGTATTATTAGATTGATTAATTTTTAATTCTCTTTAAAAATAAACTAAATAATGGCAAAAATTTTAGATTGATTAATTTTTAATTCTCTTTAAAAATAAACTAAATAATGGCAAAAATTCTGTTAGTACAGGCTTTTTAAAAAATGCTCAAGTGTGTCATACACATTCTGTACCTACCTATCAACACACATCTAAGTACCAACCCGCCCTTCCCCCAGAAGTAAAGTAAGTAAGTAAAGTTTCCCTTTCAAACCTGACAGTCTACAGAAGTAACATAATTAAAATAGGTGTTTAAAATAAAATAAAAAAAGACAATATTTTTACTAATAATTTTAAGGGTTAAGCCCCCCCCCCCCCCCCCAATCAACAAGGCATTTTTATGTTCTCTGATAAAAACTACTCTTACACTTTGTTCCAATTCAATATTCATTCAGCTGTAGCAAATAGGCCCTAATTATTTCTAAGACAATAAAACTATCATGAATGATATAGTGCAATCCTCTGACTGATTTCATCAGACAAACTCTGTGTGTTAGATCTACATTGCATCATTACAAGTTTTAGGTAATTACAATCTGTTTTGTATTTTATGTACCCCCCCCCCCCCTCACTCACAGCCTGTGATACAATGGTGACAACCTTGCATCAGATTTTTTAAACTTGTATTCCTCTTGAAGTATTTGTTTTCAGTAGTGGTAGGTCTACTTTTTAAGTGAACATAAGTTAGGCTAGTAAATTGCCATAGCTAATAAATCGATCAAGTAGTTTAAAAACAAAATAAAGTAATCTTTTAGACACAGGACCAGATGGAAGATTTTACTCTAAAAGATTCGCATTGCTAATAAAAATAAATAAATAAAACATTGCTAGGGCCTATAGTGGATTTTCCGAAATCAGGTTTATCATAGTCATAGCCACTCATAGCCTAGCGCATCTCTGGATGAGAGATGGATGGTGAGCCTGTGTTGAAAATGCAGGTGTCTCACGTTTATGTCTACAGTCGCTGTAGACAGACATACAAACACATTTTTTTTACAATCACAAATCATCTTTCTTTTGATATAAAGACAACCCCCTGCTCAATAACACAAACCCTATCTCCGCACCTTGTTGCACAATAAAGGCTAAAATAATTCTAACCGCTGTCATGAAATAAAATGTTTCGGATATTTTTTAATTAGAAAAACATCTTTGTTTATCTACGGTAGACAAACTAGTCTTTAGGATCAGAGTGACGGTTAAAAAAAGAAATGCGCATATAAAATTCAACTAAGTCAACGTCAATCCCACCCCTCCACCCCGATCCCCGCCCACCAATTCCCGCCCTAGTGACAAATAAGCTACCGGAAGTAACACGTGTGACATTCACCTCATATTTCTAATTCTAAGTTATGGAGATGGTGTGACGTCACACTTTAGCATTATAAAAAGAGCAATGTTAGAAAACGAATTTTAGCCTTTATTTCGTGTTTTAGAAAACTGTTTTTAATAAATTGTAATAGGAATTTATTAAAATACGCCATGTTTTGACAGAGTTCAGACAATGACGTCATTTTAGGGGGGGGGGGGGCGCTGGCTTTGTGTGACGATGTGTGACAGAGGGGAGAAGGTAATAATCATAAAAATCTGTGACGTCATTTATGGTGTTTCTCCACCCCCCCCCCAGGCTTATTATTTGGCTAATTTTAAAATTATTTTTAGGCATATCCTCAACCTGGTCGACATAGTTTATTAGTTTGTTTTCAAGTGATACTACCTTTCTTACTTAAGATTCATAAGCAATTATGACCTCAATGCTCTGATGCAATTCTAAGGAAAATGATGTCGACAAAAATAAATTACTAAATAAAAACATAGGGGGCACTACCGCAATAAGACAGAGCCACGCCGTCCACTACAAATTAAAGATAGAAACGATGGGCAGATACGGAGGTTTGACCACCTGTGTGAGGGTGGGGTGGGGGGGGGGGATGGATGTTGGCCGAGAATAAAAGCTTACAACAGTGCACGTGATGTTTAGATTAAGTGCCCGCTGAATACACATTTACAAAAACAACAAAAATTGGGAAAATAAATACGGTGGCGTCGATGTTATTTTAATTTGTAAAAAAAAAAAACGAAAGTTTGATAATGTATTAATAGGCCTACTTATTAACACTGACAACTTTACAAATAACATGGCCAGTCTTGTACACAGAGACCGCTGTTCGGCCTTCAGTTTTTAAATCAGATTTTGATAGGGTCTCTATTGAAGGCTTACCAAGGCCTATAAGGTCTCTATTGAAGGCTTACCAAGGCTTATATGGTCTCTATTGAAGGCTTACCAAGGCCTATATGGTCTCTATTGAAGGCTTACCAAGGCCTATAAGGTCTCTATTGAAGGCTTACCAAGGCTTATATGGTCTCTATTGAAGGCTTACCAAGGCCTATAGGGTCTCTATTGAAGGCTTACCAAGGCCTATAGGGTCTCTATTGAAGGCTTACCAAGGCCTATATGGTCTCTATTGAAGGCTTACCAAGGCCTATAGGGTCTCAATTGAAGGCTTACCAAGGCCTATAGGGTCTCTATTGAAGGCTTACCAAGGGATATAGGGTCTCTATTGAAGGCTTACCAAGGCCTATAGGGTCTCTATTGAAGGCTTACCATGGCCTATAGGGTCTGTATTGAAGGCTTACCAAGGCCTATAGGGTCTCTATTGAAGGCTTACCAAGGCCTATAGGGTCTCTATTGAAGGCTTACCAAGGCCTATATGGTCTCAATTGAAGGCTTACCAAGGCCTATAGGGTCTCTATTGAAGGCTTACCACGGCCTATAGGGTCTCTATTGAAGGCTTACCAAGGCCTATAGGGTCTCTATTGAAGGCTTACCAAGGCCTATAGGGTCTCTATTGAAGGCTTACCAAGGCCTATAGGGTCTCTATTGAAGGCTTACCAAGGCCTATAGGGTCTCTATTGAAGGCTTACCAAGGCCTATAGGGTCTCTATTGAAGGCTTACCAAGGCCTATAGGGTCTCTATTGAAGGCTAACCAGTGCACCTCTTGATATGGTCTATATGGAAGGCTTTCCAGATGAAAGGCTTACCAGTGCACTTGTTTTATAGGGTCTATACTATATGGAAGCCTTACCAGTGCGCCTGTCTATATGGAAGCCATACCAGTGCACCTGTTTATAGGTTCCATAAGCATACCAGTGCATATGTTTATACAGTCTATATGGGAGCCATACCAGTGCACTCGTTTATATGGAAGGCCTACCAGTGCAGCATTACAATCAAGTCATTACAAATCAAGTCAAGGAAAATTTACACAACACCTTTCCGTAATTTTCAATTAAATTATTAATAACGATGACAAGTGCATAGTCATAAAGTACTTCTAGTGTGAAGAGCGGCAGCTCTCCTATTTACCACCCTAATCGCCACAACTACATGTCTTTATTAATTACAGGCATCTTAGAGGCATCGTTGACAAACTTTTAGTTTAGTTCTGAGACTTCGAGATAACGATTTGAGTTTAGCTTTAGGTGCGACTTGATGAAATAGGTTAAATGGTAGATTGTTGGATTAGGTTAAATGCAGAGGCGTAGCGACCCTTCCCGGCGCCCGGGGACAAACTTTCGATTTGCACCCCCCCCCCCCTCAAACTTTCAATTTGTTTTTCCAACCCATTTTGGCGCCCCCTAATGTCGGCGCCCGGGGACATATGTACCGCCCCCCCCCCCCCTCGTTACGCCTCTGGTCAAATGGTGGATTGTTGGATTAGGTTAAATGGTGGATTGTTGAAATAGGTTAAATGGTGAATTGTTAGATTAGGTTAAATGGTGGATTGTTGAAATAGGTTAAATGGTGGATTGTTGAAATAGGTTAAATGGTGGATTGTTGGATTAGGTTAAATGGTGGATTGTTGGATTAGGTTAAATGGTGGATTGTTGAAATAGGTTAAATGGTGGATTGTTGAAATAGGTTAAATGGTGGATTGTTGAAATAGGTAAAATGGTGGATTATTGAAATAGGTTAAATGGTGGATTGTTGAAATAGGTTAAATGGTGGATTGTTGAAATAGGTTAAATGTTGGATTGTTGTATTAGGTTAAATGGTGGATTATTGAAATAGGTTAAATGGTGGATTGTTGAAATAGGTTAAATGGGATGGATTGTTGGATTAGGTTAAATGGTGGCTAGTTGAATTAGGTTAAATGGTAGATTGTTGCAATAGGTTAAATGGTGGATTGTTGAAATAGATTAAATTGATGCTAGTTGGAATAAGTTATAATTCAGATAGTGGACTACTGATGTTAATACGTTGAGGTACAAGCTTTGAGGGTTGGTATTGCCTATATTGCCGATACAAGTTGGACAAATATTAAGCACGGTAAATAGACATGTAACAGTGCAATTGTAATAACTTTCTGATTCGTCAAAATTATAATTTATTCTTAAATACGATTAGGCTTTACTTTAACAATATATCTAGAGGCCTTGA